CCCTTGGCACGGGGAGAGGTCGGGCTGCCGCCTGCATGCCCCGGTCCCTGCTAGAGACCCCCGGGCAAGGCTGGGCGCGTTTGCAGACGTGTTCAGCTCGGCGTGCCAAGCGCTGGGCGCAACCGCGCCATTTCCCCGGCGAGCGGCGGGAAAGGAAAGAGAAGCGAAGCGGAGCGAAGGAGGGAGGGCAGGAGGGAGGGAGGGAGGGGAGGGGGAGAAGGGGGAGGATGGGTTGCCCCCTCCCCCTTTCCCCCCTCTACCTTTCTCCCCCCCTCTACCTTTCTCCCCCACCCGGGTTCACAGGTGTCTCCAATCCTGGAACACAATGCCCATCATCCTGTCCCCGGTGTTGGAGACCTGGGAGGAGGAGGAGGCGGGGGGGCACAGAGACTGGGGTCCCTCGGGATGAGGGGGGTTGTAGTCCGACCTCTCCCCTGCAGGGAGGAAGGAGGGAGGGCTGGGGAGGATGGGTTGGCCCCCTCCCCTTTCCTCCCCTCTACCTTTCTCCCCCACCCGGATTCACAGGTGTCTCCAATCCTGGAACACAATGCCCATCATCCTGTCCCCGGTGTTGGAGACCTGGGAGGAGGAGGAGGCGGGGGGGGGCACAGAGACTGGGGTCCCTCGGGATGAGGGGGGGTTGTAGTCCGACCTCTCCCCTGCAGGGAGGAGGGAGGGAGGGATGGGGAGGATGGGTTCCCCCCTCCCCTTTCCTCCCCTCTACCTTTCTCCCCCCCCCCCCCGGATTCACAGGTGTCTCCAATCTTGGAACACAATGCCTATCATCCTGTCTCCAGTGTTGGGGGATCTGGGGGGAGGCGGGGATCTTGGGAGACTGGGTCCCTCGGGATGAAGGGAGTTGTAGTCCGCCCTTGCCTCCCCCGCCTATTTTTTAGGGTGCAAGGGTGCTCCGTTTCTCCGCAAGGGGAAGCGGGTCGTGTGAACGGGGTAAGAGTCAAGGCGGTGTGTGTGCGCGCGCGCGATGGGGTTGATTTAAAGAGCCGGGCGGGTTTCTCATGTGGTTTGCAAGCAGCGCCGGCCGTCCAGAGGCTAAACACGCGACTCTTCTGTCCTTCCCACGACCAGGAAGACCAGGAAGCCAGCAAACTTGAGAGATTATTTTCATTTTTATTTTTTAGACTGCTGGAGGACTTTTGAATGGCGGTGCCTTGAAATTTGGGGTGTTTTCCTTTTAAGAAATGGTGATGTGTGTGTGTGTGTGTGTGTGTGTGTGTGTGTGTGTGTGTGTGTGTGTGTGTGTGTGTGTGTGTGTGTGTTACAGCCTTTCAGCAGTCTCTGGGCTTCCCGAATCGGCACACGAATGTCTCACTTTTAATTTTCTTTTTTTTTTTTTTAAATTAATTTTTCTTTTTTTAAAAAAATATTTTTTGTAATTCGCCTGATAAACGAGGACTCTCCAAGAGTGGTTTATGCTCTAGAAATGATAAAGAAGAATATGTATCTATATGTGTGTGTGTGTGTGTGTGTGTGTGTTTATCTGCATTTTATGTATACACACAGGCGCAAACACACACACACACACACCCGTCAAATGGGCCGAAAAGGAGATTTTAAAAACTTTCGCCTTTCGTTCTTTTTTTACTCCTATTGATTCTCATAATTCGTGGAGGGAAAATGCTTATAATTGGACAAAAAATAAAGAATAAATATATATTGGCGTGGAATCTTCCTTCCTTCCTTCCTTCCTTTTTAAAAAGGGTTTTATTATTGCTGGATGGAGCGCGCTGGGGATCTGCTCTCGTTTTATGAATTATTCCGTTTGGGACGCGATTCTACCGTTTGTGGTGCGATTTTTGCTTTGTAACTCATGACTCGGTGGAAAATGTCTTTCATTGATCAGATTTCTATACCGCCCATCACACTGGACCTTGGGCAGTTGTACTTTTATATCTTATATTTTAGTTGTATATTTTGTGTTTTGTGTTCTATATTTATTTTATATTTTATATTCTTTCTCTAAACCCTGACCCTGCCGATTTATTCTTACTCGTATTGGCTTAAGATCCTTTGCTTCTGAAATCTCAGATTTCTCAAAACAAACAAACAAACCCCCCCCCCCACCTTCCCAACTCTCTCGGACCCCTCCCACGAAACCTTAGCTCACCCCAATTTCACCTTTTTTTTAAAAAAAAAAATCCATTTTAATGTCAATGAACGTCTCCACTTTTTTCTGCTTCGACCAAAACCCCCCATCGGATAATTATCCTCTCGATGGGGCCTTTGGTTTAAAATAAAGTTGGTTTTCCTGGAATCGCGAAGGGAGGCTCAAAAAATGCTAATGGACGAAAAATGTCATAAACTAGCTTCTAGCCGCGATGATGACAACGGTAGAAAATTAGTTGGTTTGTTGCGTGTATTTTTGTTTTTCTCCGCCGCGTTTAGCGCTCCACCCAATCAAACTGGCATTATGGATGGCCCTGTTATTTGCTACTTATTATTATTATTATTATTATTATTATTATTATTATTATTATTATTATTATTATTATTATTATTATTATTATTATTAACAGCAGCAGCAGCAGCAGCTACGTGCTCAAAATATTCCCAGTGTGGTCTGTTCAAGAAAAGGGACTCCTTTTAAAAAAGATATCCACGCACCACCGACATTTCGCGGCTGTCTTTGTGGATAATTGTGTGTTGTTGTGTGTTCTTGCATGTTAGGTGTTCATTTGTTTACTATAAAGCGTGTGCGCGCGGGGGGGGGGGACTTCGTAATTATATGGATTTATAATTCACCCAGAGCTTTTCAAATACAGACGAGACCCGATTAATTGCTAACCCGGAGCGAGGGGGGAGGAATTGGAGACCAACACTCGCGTCTCGTGGGAATGAAAGACCCGGGGCGTCCGTGGGGCTTTGTCTGAATCCGGATCTCCGTGTCAGCTCCAAACTGGGGCACACACATAGATATATATATATAGTTGGATGGATGGATGGATGGATAGAGAGAGGGTTAAATAGTGATAGAGAGAAATAGAGATAGAGACGGAGAGATGTGTGTGTGTGTGTGTGTATAGATAGAGAGGGGTGAGTTAGATAGTAACAGAGAGATACAGATAGATATAGATGTATATATAGAGAATAGATAGATATAGATAGATATAGAGCAGGGGTCTTCAAACTTGGCAACTTTTAGACTTGGGGACTTCAGCTCCCAGAATTCCTCAGCCAGGCGTGCCTGGCTGAGGAATTCTGGGAGTTGAAGTCCACAAGTCTTAAAGTTGCAAAGTTTGAAGACTCTTGATGTAGAGAGTTAGATATAGTGATGTATATATATAGAGAGATGTATAAATAGAGAGATAGTGATAGAGATATAGTGATATAATGGATGGATAGATTGATAGATAGTCGATTGATTCACATCAGCCTGCTGGAAAATCAATTGATGGAAATTTTACAGATAATCCTCACCTAGCAACTAAAATTGGGACTAAAATTTCCTTTGCTAAGCCAGGTTGCAAAAACTAAGCCAGGTTCTTAACCATCTTTCTCCCCTCTAGCGAAGGCATCCCGGATATTATAACAATTCATGGGCCGATTGGAAAGACAAATTGAAAAGAAAAAAAAAAGGCTGATTTTGCAGGAAATCAAAACAAACGGAACTGCATCGCTTTCCCTAAGCCGGGCAGACAGGCATCTCCCTGCCCGGCCTACATCTCCCATCGTGCCCCTGGCTCTTTCCTGCCGCCTCTTCTCCCGCCTCTTCCGGCCGGGGGAAGAGGCTCCTGATTGGTTGACGCCTTCGAAGCGGGCCAGAGGCGGCGGCAGGCGGGAGATGCCGCCGCCAAACTGAGGGGGCTCCGCTTCGTCGCTTCAGGGTGCTGAAGCCCCGCCCACTTCAGCCCCCCCTTTTCTCACCCAGGCCCCCAATTTATGGGGAGGGGGCTCCCTTTCCCCCCCTGCTCCTTTCCCTTGCCAGGCTTAAGGGGAAGCTCTATTCAACCCCCTTTTGTACTGAAGGGGGTCCCCAGTTACAATTGGGGGGACCCCTCCCTTTTTTCCAGCCCCCCCATTTGAGGGTCTCCTTCTTGGGGCGTCTCCCCATTCCCCTCCCTTCCAAAATTAGGAAATTTCTTTTCCCCTTTATTTTAAAGACCCTCGTATGGGTGGGAAATAATTTGCATTTTTTCATAATTCAATGCCAATTAATTGGAATCAATCATTCCAAGACTTATTTAAATTATAACTATATTTTTTTACAATTGCTAATTGCCAGCTTTCCAGCTTCTTGGGAACTTGCAGCAGTCTGAATAGCATCCTTTTAAAAAGGATTTTTTTTAAGGGGAGAAAAAAATTGGGGTGCCCTAATATATATTTTAAGGGAGAGCAGCCCCCCCCCAAGATTAGTGTGAGATTTATGGATCCCCTTGAAAAAAGGAGATTTTTAAAAAATTATCCTTAGATATTTTTCAGGGAGGGGCTTGTATTAATCCTATTTTGGGGTCCCCCATTACTGTTCCCCTTCCTTTATGAAAAACCCCCTCCCCTTCCTCTTGTCTCCATTTTTTTAATGCATAATTGCAGTATTTTTTTTTAGGGGGTGCCCTTTCTTGCTCTGCAGAATTAGAGCCTGCTAAATTTGGGGGTGCTTCAGTCATTTTGGGGCGGGAGGGAGAACTTTTATAATCTGCATTTAATGCACTTATTTTTTTTACCCCAACTCTTGTTTATTCTGCATGATCGTTTTGCAAAAATTGGAGCTGGGGGGAGCAGAGATCACCCTATTTTCTAATTTGGGGGAAGCTGGGATATTTGGGGGGGGTCCTTATCATGATTTTGTCGGCTTCCATTATCATTTCTCTGTTTCGTTTGGAAGAGAAGCAGCTTGCCTTTTGAATAATACACTTATTTATTTAATGGAAGGAGATTCTTTAGAATAGGAGGCTGTCTAACACACCTCATTGTAAGTCTTTTTGTTTTTTCTCTGTAAATAAAAGTGTTTGTTTTTACAACTGTGTATTTCAGTTCCTGCAACAGGGGTCTGTTCCTCTGTGAAGTTGAACCATGGTGAATTTTTCTGAACTCTTTAAAGCCTCCAACCACTTGTGCAAAATTTCCCCAGATGGCAAATACGTGGTGAGTAGACGTTTGTAAGTTGTGCAGTGTGATTTGGTTGTGTGTCTTTTTCCTTATAATTTGCCTCTTTCTGCCAGTTTATGTTCGGGTCAGGCATTGCATTAAATCCTGGTTTGCTTCACGTTGGTTTGTTGAATAAGCTGGCATTGCTGAGGTTTGTGCAATACACTAAGTCAAAAATCATGATTTATGCAGGAGAGTTGCAAGGGGGCAGAATGCATTTGGGCTAAATGCCAATTTAGCGAAGCCAATTTCTCTTACGATGAGGAAAAATAATATTTGGTTTATATCCTGGAAAGGGGAAATCTTCATTAAAAGCTTATTTGTTTGCCATATTGCCTTTTGATGAAAATAATAAATTACACAGAGTCCTTTTAACCGATCTTTGAAAAGGTGGGCTTAACAGCTAAAGCCAAGTTTGTGCTAAATTTTTAAAAAATAAACTGTTGTAATTTAGGATTATACGTGAATTAGATTTGGCCCCAGGTGATTAACGTAAAACAATTCAACCATCAAATAATCTTAAAGGGAATCGAACGAATGCAGTATTTCTAATATTGCCGTTTAAAAATATCAAGTAAAATCTAGGGATTTTTTTTTTTTTTTACATCTCTTACGTATCTATATTGAAATTTCTACCCTCTGTAAATTTAATCCGTTTATTTATGCTAGGGAATTAAAAACATTGCTGCTTTAAAAATGTTCTTAACAATGATAAACCGCTGTGTCGAGTGGCATATTTATTTAATAAATTATTCTTAAAGTTGGGCGGCGGTGAAGCAAAAGTTTTGGGGCTACAATGCCCATAATCTCTCGGTGCCAGTTGAGACTGGAGGGAGCAAAATTCTTAACATGTTGGAGAGTTAAAATATCTTTGGGATTTTAAGAGACGTCGTGCCTCTGTCTTTATGGTAAAAAATGATTAAGCTGTGTTTAAAATGATAATTTTTCAGGCATCTGGGGTACAATACCGTTTGGTGATCCGAGATGTCAGCACGCTTCAAATTTTGCAATTATTTACCTGCCTGGATCAAATCCAGCATATTGAGTGGTCTTCCGACTCCCTATTTATCTTTTGCGCCATGTATAAACGTGGAATCGTGCAGGTGTGTACCTCGGGGTTTGGGATGGATCTGTCCCTCATCTGGCCTTTAATTAAATTAAAGCTAAATTAAAGGGGGGGGGCAATGTCTTAAAAAAACAGATTTTTGCAGTGGATTTCAGGGAGAAAAGGGAGCATAGCACCCTCTGGTGGAGAGAGGTGGAATTGGAAACGGATTGCGTTTTCCCTGGAAAAAACTCACATTTTTTTCCAATTTGGGAAGAGCAGCGTGCCTTTTTAAAGGAAAAATACGCGGCTGTAAAGGCATTCTGCAATTCTGCCCAATGCACAGGAAGTCCTCGGCTTACAACAGTTTGTTTAGCGACCGTTCAAAGTTACAACGGCACTGGAAAAAAAAACGCCTCTCTTTTTATTAAACAGCGACTCCATTTACTTGTATGTATTTATTAGACAATATTGAATAATGTTTATTAGTATTAAATCGTAATGCAGGTGGTCCTCAATTTAACGACGGCAGTTGGGCCCAGAATTTGTGTTGCTGAGTTGAGAAATTTGTTAAGCGATTCTATCCTGGTTTTACGACTTTTCTTGCCACCGTTGTTAAACGAATCACTGCAGTTGATAAGGGACTAACACAGTTGTTAAGTGGACCTAAACAAACGGTCGTAAGTCAAGGACTATCTGCATATGGCTTTCTACAGAAGAGAGAGAGAGAAAAAAAAAGCTTACTTTTGTAGTGGGGTCCAGCCACAGTCCTTCATGATGGCGGTGGATATTCCCGTTCTTTATGCCAGGAGTTCGATTCTCTCGGCTGGAGACCGAGAAGCGTAGAATCACAGGGCTGGGAGGGCACCTTGGAGGTCCTCTAGTCCAACCCCCTGTGCAGGGCAAGAGTCCTCATTAGAAATGGGATGTTTTTGCCTTCCTTAGGTCTGGTGCTTGGAACACCCCGACTGGCACTGCAAAATCGACGAAGGCTCGGCCGGGCTGGTGGCCTCATCCTGGAGTCCCGACGGGCGTCACATCCTGAACACCACCGAATTCCACGTGGGTGTGAAATCTGGGGAGAGGGGGGGTCTTCTCCCAAGAGCTCTGAATGCTCCTGTCTGCCTTGGAGCCCCTAAATAGCTTGCCGTGTTCTTCTTTTTTTAAAAAAGAGAGAAACAGCTGATGCCTTATCCTGGCTATCTAGGATTAGGGGTGTGGCTGGTTGTAGGAAAAACATTGCCTAAAGTTAGTTAAGTTGCCAAATTTGGTCTTAAGGAATCCAGCATCTCCCCCGTTCAAAGGCTCCTAATAATGGCAAGGCATCCAGAACCTTTAAATTTTTTTAAAAAAGAAAAAAACGACAAAGGAAATGATTAAAAGTTCCAGATTTTCCATTTAGTGTCCATACTTTGCATTTTCAGGGTTGGTTTTTTTGTGTGTGTGTGTTTATTTTAAATTGAAAATTGTTTCAATCCGTACGGGGATTAAAAACAAAACAAAAAAACCCAGCAAAGGATTGAGAGGAGATTCAAATTTTGTCTAAATATACGACAGGTAGTTCTCGACTTAACGATGTTTCGTTTAGTGACGGCACTGAAAAAAGGGACCTGTGACCGTTTTTCACACGTAAGACCGTTGCAGCAATTCCAGGGTCACGTGATCAAAATCCGGACGCTTGGGCAATTGACTCGTACTTATGATGGTCTGCGGTCCCAGTAATTTGTTGTTCCACGGATTAGTTGATCTGGGATTACAGACTTGAAAGGGACTTTGGAGGTCTTCTAGTCCAACCCTGTGGTCAAGCAGGAGACCCTATGCCTCTTGAAGACCTCCAGTGTTGGAGCATCCACAACTTCTGGAGGGAAGCCTGGTTATAATAATAATAATAATAAAGTTGGAAGGGACCTTGGAGGTTAATTGTTTTCATTTGTCAGAAAATTTCTCCTTAATTTTAAGATGGATCTCTTTGACAAGCTTCCATCCGTCGCTTCTTGTCCTGCCTTCTGGTGCTTTGGAGAATAAGTGGGAAACCCCCCCCCCCTCTTCTTTGTAGGAGCCCCTTAGATATTGGAAGGCTGCTATCATGTCACCCCTGGCCCCTCTTTCCATTAAAGTAGCTGTAGCCAGTTCTTTGTATGTTTTAGCCCCCCGATCCTCCTCGTTGCTCTTCTCTGCACCGTTCCCAGGGTCTTGGGAAGGGGTTGATCCCTCGGGGTCTGCTTCCCAGCGGCAGGTGGAGACGGGGGCGGACGGGGAAATGCTTCTTCTGAGGCTGGAGAACTTGCCTTGACCCCCGGCGGGCTTGCGTTCAGCCAGCTGCCGTGCCGCGTGGGTAGATGTACTCTGGGTCGGTAAACAAGGGGCTCTGGTAACTTAGACTGACAGCTGGCTGGGATAAGGCGGGGGTCTCCACGGCTGGCTGCCGGACCCTCTGTCCATCATATACAGTATATGTATGTATGTATGTATATAAGCATCTTTTTATATCATGGTAACCTGGGTGTGTGTATCTATATCTATATATCTATACCTATATCTACCTATATCTATTCTACCTACCTATTCTCTGTCTACCTATCTGTTTCAGTCTCTTTCATCTCTATCCTTCATCTATCTATCTATCTATCTATCTATCTATCTATCTATCTATCTATCTATCTATCTATCTATCTATCTATCTATCTATCTATCTATCTATCTACCATTTATATCTAATCTCTCATTTATCATCTATATCATTATCATCTATCTCTAATGTATATCATCATTATCTGTATCTAAACTCTATCATTTATCATCTATATATCTACAGTATCTTTACGGTATATCTATATCTATCTATCTCATCTCTCATCTCATCTATATCTATCTGTCTATTATCTATATATCTATCATCAATATCTAATCTATCATTTATCATCTATAGCTATCATATCTATCCATCCATCCATCCATCCATCCATCCATCCATCCATCTCATTATCTATATCATCTATATCTATCTAGCCATCTATCATTATTTATCTGTCTCTATCTCTATTTCTGTGCGGGGGGGTGTTCAGTCCGAAATTTTGTTCAATCCAACCCACCCACCCCGAAATCCCTGGCTAACAGACCCTGCCCCTTCTGGGTAACTTGATCCCATCAAGTCTGGGATAAAGTCGAGGTCCATCAGGCACGCCGGGCGCTAGGAGCGCGGGGTCTTGGTGGGACGGAGGGGGCCGCCTTGCCAGCTGCCCGGCCTTGTCAAAACCGGGTCCAATTCCTCTCCCCACTCTCTTTCTGGAGCAGATCCGTCTCATTGCTGCTTTTCAGCTGCTTTTGTTTTCGGTATTTCAACAATGCTGCTGTTTTCTCCCTTCCGAAGAGCAGCTGCGCGCCCGACACCCGATCACGAAGAGGTGAGGCCGGTTCATGTGCGTTAAGCCAGCAATGTGGGTTTGGGGGGGGGGAAAAGCCGGGGGTCTGTTTTGGAAAAACAGAAAGCAGGTAAAAAAAAAACAGTTGGGTCCTGCCGTTGCGTCCCTCGTTACAGGCAAGTCCTCAATTTTGTGGCCGAAATTTCCGTCGCTAAGCGAGACCGTTAAGTGGGTTTAGCCACGTTTTACGACCTCCCTAGCCGCCGACGTTAAGAGAATCACTGCAGGTTAGTCAAACGGTTGTAAAATGAATCTGGCTTCCCCACTGACTTTGCTTGTCAGGCGGTCGCAAAAGGGGATCGCGTGAAACCCCTTCCCCAGACACTGCGACCGTCGTAAATACGAGCCGGTCACCAAGGGTCTGAATTTTGATCCCATGACCACGGGGATGCTGCAACGGTCGTAAGTGTGAAAAACGGTCGTAAGTCACTTTTTTCAATGCCGTAATTTCAAACTAAGTCAAGAATTATCTGTATTAGGCAGGTAGTCAATCTTCTGTCACTAAACGAATGGTGATAAGTCAGGGACTGTACGTTCTTTTCTCTCTCTGCTGTCTTCTACCAAGAAAATTCCTGTTCTAAAATCCTCGTGGTTTGTTGGTTCTAGCTGTTAAAAAAAAATAATGCAAGGTTTGTTTTTTAAAAAAAGGTCAAGTTGATTAACGTGGTAGCCATCCTGATTTTTTTTAAAAAAAGAATAAAATAAAGACAAATCGAAGAGTTGAACGGAGGTGGGGCCAAGAAGGAAAAGTCCCTAGAAAATTTCCTCGTTCACCACATAATGCAAAAAACTAAATCGACCCTTTTTCCCCCCCGTCTCCCTTGAATAGCTACGGATCACCGTCTGGTCCCTGTGTACGAAATCGGTGTCCTACATCAAATATCCCAAAGCTTGCCAGCAGGGTAAGTGAAGAGGACTAAATTCAGATTTTATTTCAATTTTGTTTTATTTTATTTCATTTCAGTCGAGACGGCATATAGGTTCTCCTGCTTGAGCAGGGGGCTGGACTAGAAGACCTCCAAGGTCCCTCCCAGCACTGGGATTCTGGGGTTTTAAAACCGCCGTTTACCGAACAAGCCTTGATGCTTGGTTAGCCAATCATTTAAGATGGTTCCACAACTTGCAGGCCGAAGCTGGCGTGCGTCGCGTCTGCCTGCAAATGCTTGAGGGACTTTCCGCAGGATTGTGTTGCGGCTGGAGAGGAAAACAACACAGCTGTTTTCAGGCGGTGGAAATGCCACAGCTCCATAGTAATACCCAGCCAGGGGGGAAAAAAACACAACAATACAAAACCACATGACATTTTTGTGTTGTTTTTAACCTGTCTGCAGCCTCTCGCAGGAGCCACGCTAAATATCTGCTCCGTCAGCTGGAGTTCACCTGTCCAGTTTATATAAAATAATATATATACACAAACATATTTATATGTATAAAATAAAATATGTACCTGTATTGTGTGTGTTGTTTGTGTGTGTTTGTATGTGTAAAAAAATACATAACATTACTCCTATCCAAATATTGTTTTTCCCTTGATCCTTTTTGTCGCTTTCTTGGTATTGGTCATTTAATTCCCCATTCCGTGAAAAATCATTGTATTGTATTGTATTGTATTGTGTATTATAATTTACTTTATTTTATTTTATATTTTATTTTATTATTTTTTATGTTTTTTAATTTTATTTATTGTATTTTATATTTTATATTTATTATTTATTGTATTTTATTTGTTACTTTTTGTTTTTATTTTATTTTTATTTATTTACTATTTTATTTATTGTATTTTATCATTTGCTTTATTTTATTTTATATTTTAACATTTATTATTTTATTGTATTTTATTTTATAATTTATTTTATTATTTTATTTTATTATTTGTTGTATTTATTACTTTTTATATTTTTACTTTATTATTTTATTTATTGTATTTTATCATTTGCTTTATTATTTTATTTTATATTTTAACATTTTATTTTATATTTTAACATTTTATTTTATTTTATTTTATTATTTGGCAGGCCTGGCTTTCACGAAGGACGGGCGCTACCTGGCCCTGGTGGAACGGAGGGACTGCAAAGATCACGTCAGCCTCTTTGTCTGCAGCGACTGGCAGCTTTTGAGAGTAAGAAGTCCCATTTCCTGGACTTCGCGACCTCTTTGATGATGGTTTGCAGGATTCCCATCCTGCTTTGTCCAGTATTTTTCTTCTGAGTTGAGGCAAAAGTCCCTGGTCCAGGGATCATCGGAGGTTTTTTCCCACGCCAGGTAAAAGATTTCCTAGTCCCAACCTGATTTTCCTTATTTCCTCGTGTTTTGTCTCCCAAGCATTTTGAGACCGAGACCCAGGACGCCGCCGGAATCGACTGGGCCCCCAACGGCTGCGTGCTGGCCGTGTGGGACAGCTGCCTGGAGGTGAGCAGATTCACACCCGCTGCTTCCGCTAAATCAATTCGAGCCATCCTGACAGCCTTGTGAGGTAGTCCCCACCGCAAACACACACACACACATACACACAGCTCTAACTTTATGGCAAGGGTGACATTTATTGCAAGTTGTCATAAATACATGCCGGTTACCAAGTGCCCAAATTTTGATTTGTGTTTTCATAAGGATGCTGTGGCGGTTTGTAAGGGAAGGGAGAGTTGTAAATCGTTGCAATTTCGAACAGTCACTAAATGGATGGTTGTGAAGTCAAACAAGAGATCTATACCATTTCAATAAGTCAGAGTAAGAGCTGGAAGGGACCTTGGAGGTCTTCTAGTCCAGCCCCCTGCTCAAGCAGGAGACCCTGTACTCTTTCAATCAATCAATCAATCCCTAGACCATTTCAATCAGAGTAGGAGCTGGAAGGGACCTTGGAGGTCTTCTAGTCCAGCCCCCTGCTCAAGCAGGAGACCCTATCCCATTCCAGACTAATGGCTGTCCAGTCTCTTCTTAAAAACCTCCAGTGATGGAGCGCCCACATCTGGTGGCAAGCTGTTCCCCTGGTTCATCGTCCTGTGAGGAAGCTTCTCCTTAATTCCAGGTTGCTTCTCTCCTTGCTTAGTTTCCATCCATTGTTTCTTGTCTTGCCTTCTGATGCTTTGGAGAATAATTTGACCCCCTCCTCTTCTTTGGGGCAGCCCCTCAAATACTGGAACGCTGCTCTCATGTCCCCCCCACTCCCCCAGCCCCTCTTTTCTCTTAGACTGGCCAAACCCAAATCCTGCAGCCGTTCTTCGTATGTTTTAGTCTCCAGGCTTCTCCTCATCTTAGTTGCTTATCATCTTAGAATATGGTCGGTTTTATATACTTTTTTTTTTTTACCAGTATAAAGTCCTTCTTTATTCCCTCGATGGACGTCTTCTTTCAACCTACAGCGCTTACGAATGGTCCTTGGGGGTGAAATCCCTCACCTGGAGCCCCAGCAGTCAGTTTTTGGCGATTGGCAGCTACGACGGAAAGGTGAGCTTGGCCAAATTTGCCCCTCCCTTCCCCCCACCCCCACCCCCCAATTTCCCCGTTGCGCAGCGTCCGAAATTTATCCTAAACGCTTGGCCACATTTAATAAGATTTTTTTTTTTTTTTACTATGGGTTTCTCGATCCCTCCATCGTCGATCGACGATTTGAAAAAAATTTGGCGTCTTTTTTTTTCATCAGGTCCGCATCTTGAACCACGTGACCTGGACGAAGATTGCCGAGTTTGACCATCCCCTCACCGTCACTCATCCCAAAATTGTAAGCATTCCGATTTCGTACACGGTTTAGGGAATGCAGTACAGGGAGTCCTCGCCTTACGACCGCAACGGAGCCAAAGAATTTACGCTGCTAAGTGAGACGTTGGCTAAAGGGAGTTTGGGCCCCATTTTACAGCTTTTCAAGAAGAGATTGGACAGTCATTTATCTGGAATGGTCTAGGGCCTCCTGCTTGAGCAGGGGGGCTGGACTAGAAGACCTCCAAGGTCCCTTCCAGCTCTGTTATTGTGTTATGATCCATTTTGGTTCACGTTGTGCTTTTGTGAACGACCCCAGCCCGATTGAACTTCCCGTCTAGGTTGTGTACAAGGAAGTGGAGAAAACCCCAGCGGTGGATTTGGAGAAACTGACATTTCCACCCAGCAAGAGGATGGCGAGTGCCCTCTTCAGCCGAAAGACGAAATGTAAGTTTGGGACTTCAGGTGGGTGGACTTCAACTCCCAGAATTCCACAGCCAGCCGTGCTGGCTGTGGAATTCTGGGAGCTGAAGTCCACAGGTCTTCCAAGTTGCCGAGTTTGAAAAAAAAACACCGCCCGAAAGAAAAGTAGACCAAAGTAAAAGGGATTAAAACTAGGAGCAAATGTGAAGTAAATATCTTGCTTTTGTTTCCATTTCAGACGACGTCGTCCAGGCCCCCCTTTCTTTGCACCACGTCAAACCTCCCACGGATCGGGCTAATCCTAGGATTGGCGTCGCGACGTTAGCTTTCAGTTCGGATAGCAGTTTCCTAGCCACCAAAAACGGTCAGAATAATAATAATAATAATGATGTGTTAAAACTTACATGGAGGCCCCCCAAACCCTGCCACAGTTCAGATTTCATTCATGGCTATTTTAAGCCAGTTCTCTTAAACTTAAGATAAAGCTTAGCTAGTAAGTTTCCACCAGCTTGTTTAAAAAGTAACTGACTTAAAATCGGCATGAATGAGAATATTAAAAAAAGGATTTTTTTAAAATCCCAACTCAACCTCCTATCAGTTAGGAATATGTTTGGCTGTAGGTCAGGCCGTTCTTTCTTATCGGCTCGGTGTGTTGTTTTTTTTAACAGACAACCTCCCAAACACCGTCTGGATCTGGGACGTTCAAAAGATGAAGCACGCTGTGGTCCTGGAGCATTTGGGTCCCGTTCAGCTGTTCCAGTGGGACCCCCATCGATCTCGGCTCGCTCTGTGCACGGGCAATACGAAAGTCTACCTCTGGTCTCCCGCAGGATGCTCCTCCGTGCAGATACCCATGGAAGGTAAACAAGAAAAGCAAAGCCGTACCTTGTAATAATTCCGGCATTTATTTTGCACCGGAATTTAAACTGGAGAAGTTGACAGAGTGGCGAATGAATATACCTGTCACTCGGGGAGGATGAGGGTGGAGGTTCGTACTCCGGGCTTGTGGGTTAGTTTCCGAGCGTTTCCTTACCAGGCTGGGTAACGCCTTCAAAGGAGTTTAGGGGACGCCAGTGCCATAGCAATAGCACTTAAGACTTCTATAGCGCTTCACAGTGCTTTACAGCCCCGAGTGGTTTACAAATGTCAGCATATTGCCCCCCCCCCAACAATCTGGGTCCTCATTTTACCGACCTCGGAAGGATGGAAGCCCGAGTCAACCTTGAGCTGGTCAGGATCGAACTTCCTAGCTGTGGGCAGAGTTTTGCCTGCAATCCTGTATTCTAACCACTGCACCAGCAGGGCTCTGTTTATAAGGGCTTCAGGGGCGGGTGTGTTGAGTAAGGGTCTCGTGAGTCTTGTGATGGGTAGGTTACACCAGGGTCTTTGGGACCTACAACCAGCCTACAAACCCTTCAGAATCCAAATCAACCGCACAGCCAACCAGAGAAGGCACCGATCCTCAACCATCCCGCGCAGTCCCCCACTCCCACCGGCAAGTTCACTTCCCAGTGACTCTGACCTGATGTAGCTTCTCCATCACAAGACCCTCACTGATGACTTACCCCGCCCCATCACAAGACCCCCCCACTTGACACCCCCACACCTGAAGCCCTTCTAAACAGAAGAACACCGACATCCCCTCAACTCCGCTGAAGAGGTTTACCTCGCCTGGTAATGAAACGTTCGGAAACCAACCCATAAGCTCGGAGAAGGAACTTCCACCCTCAAAAGTTGAGACAGACCCCACTGTGGTTTGCTCGCTCCCATTAAGGCACTTTTGGCTACTAGATACTGTCTGTTTTTATTTTCTTATGTTTCAAAGGGTGTAGCTGAAATGCTGGAAATTATTGCAAAAGAAAAAAGGATTATTTTTTTTAAAAAAAATATTGTTTTGTGCACAGGTGACTTCAAAGTGACTTCACTTTGCTGGCACCCCAGCGGGGACTTCCTGATTCTTCTGAGCAAGGACAATTTCTGCCTCTGTTACTTAGAAGGAGAAGCCGCAAAATAGCCGGACCCAAAGCGAAGCTAAGTGAAAAAAAAATTAAATCGCCAGTTGTTTTTTTAACTTTCCGTTCTCCGAAATCGGGAGAAAAAGAAACAAGTCTGTCTCGGTTTGTTCACTTTTTGTCTGGTTTTCCAGGCACAAACGTGTCATTTAAATCTGTACATAAAACAGAGTGGGCCAGAGAGACCCGGTTTCGAATTTGCTTTCCGTGAAATGGAACTTAAAAGGATGTATATTTTACGGCGGGCAACCTGCAGTGGGTTTCCCCAATTTTCAATAAAAGTCTTTGTTGTATAAAGTGCGGTCAAAAGGAGAAGGCGGCAATTTTGCATTCTATGCGGGGTAAAGCAGAGCAATTTCTATTTTGCTTTTGTTTGAATATGTGTGTGTGTGTGTGTGTAAACGTGTGAAAGCCAGCTCCCTGGGGAGGGAGGGAGGAATGGAAGGGACAGGAGAAGGAAAGGGAGGGAAGGAAGGAAGGAAGGGAAAAGAGGGAGGAAATGGGAAGGAGAAAAAGGGATGAAGGAGAGTAGGGAAGGAGGAAAAGGAAGGAGATAGGAGGGAGGGAGGATGGAAAAGTGAAAGGGAAGGGAGGGAAGGAAGGAGGAAAAGCAAGGAAAAGCAAAAGGATGGAAAGAAGGAAAATGGAAATAAGGGAGGAAAGAGAAAAGTAGACAGTAAAAAATGGGAAACACAAGCTTTCCTTCTATTGGTTGGCCTTTCTATCCCCCCCTGCCCCCCTTTTGGGGAAAATCCTGGAGAACTCATGCACACACCCACATAGTTGTCTTGGCTAGTATGGAAGTGGCTCATTGTAGCCGTTAAGATTTCCTAGTGGTCTTCCATCCACATCCTAAATGGCTCGAATCCACCTTGGTGCTTTTGAGGCAGCCAGGCGCTGCTAAATTTTGCAGTCTTCAGCCTGGCTTTCAAGAAAGCTTTTTTTGCTCATTAAACCTCCCAGAACACTAGACCTTGAATCATGGCATGTAAAGCAAAGATGCCAAACAAAGGCACCTCGTTAACCTCTTTTTAAAAAAATCGTATTAAGAAAACGACTACGAAAACGCAGCTCACCGCAAAGCATCTGCCTTGAATATCTCCAGCATAGCTATCTTGGTTCGACTGGAAAGCTGCTGCGAAGGGGCTGAGCCTGCCTCGGCAACCATTTTGTGAGTGCGCCCACCCATTGCCAGCAAAACCCCCCCGCAGGCCCCTGATCCCTGAGGCCGATCAAAACACTGAGTGGTCCCCACTGAAACGAAGCCAGACCGAAAGGATTTATGGATGAATACTTTCTGCGATTCATATGGACTTCAGTTTTATTAAGCTTCGGTTATACACAACTTATAACACAAACAAGGACACACACTCGGCGTCATCCCAGCGGCCTTTTTTTTTTTGTCTGCTGTGAACGCTGCCAAGAGAACGCCGAATTACGAAGAGGTATCAAGAGGATCTATGTTTGGGAAGCAGAAATTTCAGTTCTGGATAGATTTTAAGGCGGCGTTTCTCAGCCGGGCCACTTTCCAGATGTCCAGGACTTCAACTCCCAGGATTCCTCAGTCAATACGGCTGGCTGGGGAATCCTGGGAGTTGGAAGTCCAGCCATCTTAAAAAAAGGCCCCGCTTGAGAAAATTTTAAGGAATGCAGACATTAAATTGGAAACATCGAAAAGTACATCCATGCTTCTAAAATGATTGTTCCCCACGTGGCAGTAGACATTTCCGTCCGATATATTTCTCTTCTGAAGACTTTTGGCCTGGATGAGCCAATAATCTTTAATTTTCACTTTTTCTTTTTGAGTTTTCCACCTCTAGGATTCACCCACGTTAAGCACCGGGGTGGATTTAAAAACCGAGAGAGAAAAACCGGACATTTCGGACTAAAATTACATTCTCGCTTCGAGACCCCAGGCTTTGGTAATTTAGTACTCCGCTTTTGGACTTGAAAACCCGTCTTTAAAGCTGATCAGAAATTCCCTTTTTCCCCCCCTCCCGCTCCTCGATGCGAAAACGGGATTCTGTGCGGCGCCAAATTCCCAGGAAACGAGCACCGTTGTGCAGGATTTCACGGCGTGGAAGTCGTTCTTGGCGTGACTTGCCTTTAGTGTGACTGCGGGGAAGTTGTCTAAAAGGTGGACCAGCCGTCTCAACTCGTGCTTTGCTCGCAGGAGAGGAGAAGGTTTAGTTGCAACTCGGGAGACCCTAACAAGCCGCCCGTATTCTCAAGCTATCCCTTTTAAACCACGAGAAAGAATTAGCCACTCTCAAGCTATCACGGGAAAGAATTAGCGATCCCGCAGGAAGGAAAGCCAGGATCACGTGTACACGGGGAGGGGAGAACTCCAGAGCATGCGTGAAAACATACAAGTTGTCTTATCGGAGACACACGAAAGGAGCGGAGAAAAGATTGTGGATCCGGTGTGATGGCAACTCCTCTCTCGTTTTGATCCGTCGGGATTTTTTTTTTACGATCAGCGGCATTTTTGACGAGCTGGGGGAGTGGAAAAAATCCACCGGCTTTTGTTTCCCCCCCCCCTACTCTTCTAGGGGGGGGCGACGGTGAACTCGGCTCTGCTTTTCAGAATCCAATTTTCCCTCTGGTCATGGAGTAGCCCAGCTTGGCTTCGTTGTTGATGAAAGACATCAACCCCACGTAGGTTTCGATCAGAAGCGGTCTCTCCAGGAGCAGGACGCCGTTGGCCCGCCCTGGCAGAGGACATTCCCTGTGGGCCTTCTTGACAGCCTGGACCAGCTGGGTTTTGAAGTTCTCCAGCTGCAGAAGGAAAGGAAAGTGTGTGTGGGGGGGGGGGGAAAGAAAGGACGCCGAAGGGTTGCATCATCCCTGCCGAACCTCAGAAATATTCCTTGCAGTCAGCTGGTCATTTGCATCCTTTTAGAGAGCCGTTGAAGCCACTTGGAGGCTTGTCTGTGTCCTCGGGGTCAGCTGAGTGGTGCAAATGGGTGTGGAACTGCTGAAAGGAAGGCGGCTCCACGCCCATTTGCACCACTCAGGTGACCCCGAGGACACAGACCAGCCTCCAAGTGGCCTCAACGGCTCTCTAAAAGGATGCAAATGACCAGCGGTCTGCAAGGAGAATAAATCAGCCAGCCCACTTCCTTCTTCCCACTGCGAGTCATCTAAACTCCTTTAAAACACACACACACACACACACAAGATGATAATATCTGACCTGACACAGAGAGGCGATCTTCTCGTCGGCGTCAGCCATGGGGTGTTCGGTAAAGGTGGAGTAGGGCACGTTGCTGGACCAAGGGTTCCATCGATTGAGGAAGGAAGCCCGGCTCTGTTTGTCCCACTGGATTCGGATCCCGGCGCCTTCTCGCCTGGCGACGGGAGAAAGCACAACTTTCCTCACACCACTGTTTCAGCTTCACAAAATGTGCTGCTTTCGGGGAAACGGTCTTAGGTTAAAAAAATTAAAAACCTTAGGAGCAAGTCACGAGTGTTTCCTTCCTTAATCGCTTAAAACTAAACTTGCTGTCAGAATGCAATACACAAGACAGGCTTGTGTATTGCAGGAACTGGGAATGGCCAGTCTAGAGAAAAGAAGGACTAGGGGGGACGTAATAGCAGTCTTCCAGCATTTGAGGGGCTGCCCCAAAGAAGAGGAGGGGGTCAACTTAACGTCCAAAGCCCCTGAAGGCAGGACAAGAAACAACGGATGGAAACTAACCAAGGAGAGAAGCAACCTGGAATGAAGGAGAAACTTCCTAACGGTGCGGACAATTAACCAGTGGAACAGCTGGCCACCAGAGGTTGTGGGTGCTCCATCACTGGAGGCTTTTAAGAAGAGACCGGACAGCCACCTGTCTGAAATGGTGTAGGGACTTCCTGCTTGAGCAGGGGGTTGGGCTAGATGACCTCCGAGGCCCCTTCCGACTCTTGTGACTCTCTGAGAACGTACTTGTTGAGGGACTTTGGAGGAAACTCAAACTGGCCCGTAGAAATGGTGTCGACGGCATTAAGTGAGATTCTGGTCACTTGCAGGCACTGTAGGCTGATGAAGTCGTATTTACAGATCAAAAGGGATCGGTCGGTTATCAGGACCAGGCGCTCCTTCTCGTTGTTCCAGTGGTCAATCCTGCGAAAGGGGAGGAAAAGCAAGCAGGCCAGCGCGGCTAAGCATTTCTTCTAAGAAGAGAAGTTTTGGGAAAAGTTTTAATTTTTTTTTAATCCTGATCTGCTTTGGGGTCCAGGCAGAAGGCGGCTTTGCCCCCCCCCCCCCAACTTACTCGGTCAGCAGCCAGACGCTCTGGACCTCCCCGTCCTCCACAGGCATCACCACCACCCGGATCTCGTTGACCGCCTGTTCAATGGTGCCCGGCTGAACGGAGAGAGAGAGAGAGAGAGAGAATGGGCCATTTTGAACCCCTCGCTTCACCAATGTTAGGTCTAACGCTCTGTTTCTCAACCTTCCTGGACTTTAAGACTGGTGGACTTCAACTCCCAGAATCCCCCAGCCAGGGAGTCTCTTTCTTTTTCTTTCTGTTTCTTTCTCTCTCTTCTTTCTGTTTTTCTCTTTTTTTCTTTCTCCATTTATATATATATTTATATATGGTTAAAAATAACACTGAAGACAAACGAGTGACTCCTGGGTATATCCATAGTAGGAAACAAAACGTGAGCACCAGGAGGTTGCAAAACAGTTAAAAGTTTTAATAAAACATTAAAAACCTTTAAAAGAATATTAAAAAGGACCTAGCTTTCGTTGGATCCTACCAACATCGTCAGGGTAAAGAATAACTCAATGGGAGAAACCATTTATATATTTATATATATATATATATACACACATGCAAACATACACATGCACACACACATACATAATATACACTTGGTTTACATCTCCAGGAATCCTGTTTTGTGATGGGTGCCTATATAAATACAATTTTATGTCTGTCTTGTCTATACACACACACACACGCACATGTGTGTATGTGTGTTATATGAGAGAGACAGCATAGATATAAGTATAGCCACTATTAGGTGTAGTTATATAGTTTTCTATTGATATATTAGAAAAATATGCAACTATTAATATTGGCATATATGAAATATACACAGTACTTAGATATAATTACATAGACTTTCTTAGATACCGGTAGATGCCCATATAAATACAATTATATATATATATAGCGAGAGAGAGAAAGAGAGTAAAAAAATGACAATAAAGGTTATCTTATCTATAGAGCCTCCAGAGCTGGACGCAGCCTCCCCCGGGGGGCGTGGCCTCCTCCTCCCTCTTCCCCCTCCCTTCCTCCCCGCCGCGCATGCGCCCCCGCGCGCCCACCCGGAAGACGAAGTACTCCTTCAGGCGGCCCCCGCGGGTGGGGTTGCGGACGTTGAGCGGCCGCAGCGTCTGCCGGGGCGCCCCCAGCGAGGCGTCCACGTCTCCCGGCGGCGTGAAGGGCACGTCGGCCTCGGCCGCCGGTACCAGCAGCGCCGGCCCGGCGCCCTCCTCCGAGTCCCGCAGCTGCAGCATGGCCGGCGGCGGGCCGCGGCCTCCCCAGCGGCGCCTCTCCCTTCGCCGCCCGGCTAGGCGCCTTCTGCGCAGGCGCCAACCGCCAACCGCCGCCCACAGGGGCGGGGCCGGCGCGCGGAGGAGTCTCTCTCATAGACTCACGGCGGAGTGGAGAGGCGCCGACCCGCGCGCGGAGGCAAGCGCTGGCGGGTTAAGTGCGCGGAAATTGTTTTCTCTCTCTTCCCCCCCCCCCCAGTTATGCTCTTGGTTATGCGTGAGGATGCATTTCTGGAAGATGCAAGTTGCCTTCCTGGAAGGGTGCACCGTGCAAATAAACGCGTGCAAGTTGCCTTCCTGGAAGGGTGCATCTTGCAAATAAACGCGTGCAAGTTGCATTTATGGAAGGGTGCACCCTGCAAATAAACGTGTGCAAGTTGCCTTCCTGGAAGGGTGCACCCTGCAAATAAACGCGTGCAAGTTGCCTTCCTGGAAGAGTGCATCTTGCAAATAAACGGGTGCAAGTTGCATTCATGGAAGGGTGCACTACATGCACCGTGCCAATAAACACATGCAAGTTTTCAAACAATATTGGGGGAAAAACACCTCTGAGCAAATAAACCTATAGCTAAGATTGTGCAGTGGGGCAGATTTACAGCAAGGTGGAGGGAGGCCCAGAGTTTGCTCAGTCACTAAATGGCTTCTCTTTCTCCTTCTCTTTTCCTTCCTTCCTTCCTCCTGGTTGTAAAAAATGGGAGATTTGTCAATCTGACTGACTATTATTAATATGGTTGGTTGCCCAGCCAGCCAGATGTTCAGGCTGGTGGTGGCATTTTTGTCCACGTCTAGAAACTGGGATGGCCAGATGTGGCTGTTTGATGGTCTTAAAAGTCTCCTCATAAGCTGTACCAAGTAAAGCTGCCATTTGCAATTGACTGATGGGTTTTTTTTGTCAATGTCCACAATATTCCAGTGGTGCTCCAGATGTTTTCAGATGGCATTCAAGAGGTCTATTATAATCGGGACTACCTTTGCTTTCTTTTGGATTTACGACCGTCACAGCACCGCTACGTCATGTGATCCAAATTTGTTTCTTCCTGTTTGTTAATTTAATTTCAACTTAAGTTTAATTCAACTTCAATTTAATTTTAATTTAGCGTTTAAAGCCTTTGGACCAATTGATCCTGTTTTTTGTTTAAATGCCCCCACTTTCCACCCCACCTTTTGACATGTGACAAGGTCCCACACAATGGCCTTCTGTTTGATCCGCCTTCCCCCCCCCCCTTTTTTTCCCCACAAAAGGGAGACCCCAAGGAAAAGACACCACGGGTGGGTGGGAAACTGTTACTGGTTTTAAACCCCATGGTTTTTCTTTCTGGTGGGAGTGTTGGACCTCTGTAAATAAAGAACCAGATGTGGTTCCTCTTTTCGGTATCTGAAATACACACTTGTTCAAGGGGGTCATTTGCAGATGCTTCACTGGCCTTTAAAAAAAATTAAATGTTTTTAGGAACAGGAGAAAAAGGGGAAGGTGGAGGCTAGACAAAGGGATGAAACAGGAACATGGGGAGATAAAAAGCTCTTACTCCTCTCCTCCTCCTCCTCCTCCTCCTCCTCCTCCTTTTCATCCCCTCCTCCCTCATCCAAGATGGATTGATTTTTATTTTTTCATTCTTTGGCGCTTGGAAAACTTTTTGGGGAAGCCAGGAGATCTTCGGAAGAGTTGGCGAACTCCAAGCTTGTTTGGAGCCCAAGCAAAACAATTGGAATGTCACTCTGTGGATTTATGTGCTTTAATTTGCTCTCTGCAGATTTAATATTTGCTGATGATCCATCACACATTGGGGGGGGGGCTTTTTTGGGCAAGAGCCTCTCAACCCATGGGGAGAAATCTGAAATGGAGAGCCAGGAAGCCCTGCAAATTCCTTTCGTTGAATGAAAAACACTGATGGGGGGGGGGAACACTGGAAGCTTTTAAGAAGAGACTGGACAGCCATTTGTCCGAAATGGTATAGGGCTTCCTGCCTGAGCAGGGGGTTGGACTAGATGACCTTCAAGGTCCCTTCCAACTTTATTTTATTATTATTATTATTATTATTATTATTATTATTATTATTAATTATTATTATTATTATTATTATTATTATTATTATTATTATTATTATTATTATTATTATTATTATTATTATTATTATTATTATTATTATTGTCGCTCAGCCAAGAGACACACCACCATGTCCACAAGACCGCAGGATCTGCCTCTTGGATTTATAGGAGGGGTCTTCAAACTTGACCCTTTGGTGACCGCTGGACTTCAATTCCCAGAATTCCTCAGCCCTGGCTGAGGAATTCTGGGAGTTGAAGTCCACCGGTCATCAAAGGGCCAAGTTTGAAGACCCCTGATTCATAACATTTGGCCTCTTGCGGCTCCAGGGATGTTTTCTCTCCTCCGCTCAGTGGAAAAAAAAACCAAAACTCCACAATCACCTCGTTGTGGTTGTGGTTGAGCCATTCAGGACGTTCCAAAATGTGGATTTAATTTAAGCCCCCCTCCGCTCCCCCCCCTCCCACCAGCCCCGCTTTCCAGCCCCTTTGATTGTTGACATGGCCAAGATGTGAGATTCCAGTTTGGACACCGGCCAAGAATGCGTTTTTTTTTGTTTTTTTTAAAAACCCTCCAAGTCCATCAGCCAAAAAAATAATAATAATAAATTCCTTCGCTCGGCACACTTATGTGTGTCGTGTGTTTGTGTATGTGTGTGTGCAGGCGAGGTGGGGAGAGGAGGAGGAGGAGGGTGGGTGGGCTAGAAGAGGTATATATATATATTCTTCTAACCTGCAAAAAGGGGCTGACTGGATGGAAGCAGCAGGCTGCAAAACTCTTCAGCTGAACTGGGAAATTTGACATGGGCTTTTTTTGGGGGGTGGGGGTGGGAGAGGAAAGGCATGCAGTGGGGAGGGGTCCCGCCACCGTGAAGGGGAGAGGAGGATGAACACTGCTCCCCGGCTCAGTTGCTGAAGAGTCGCCTTGAGTGGCAGGAGAGGTTTTTGCAGGATGCCAGGAGGAACGGCCAGGCTCTGCGGATGGACGCTTTGGGCCCTGGTGGTCTGGATGGGGGGACCCCCGGCTTCCGCCCTGCACCATCGGTACCTCTGGAAGAACTGCCTCCCCTGCTACGGGGGGCAGGTGGGCTACGGCGGCGTGGGACGCTTGGACAGCAGGCCAGGTGAGTGAGCTGCTGCCGAAGGTAAGCTGCGGTCCAGAGGGGGGGGCTGTCCGTTTTCTCCCCTCGACTTAAGGAAGAAGAGAATAGCAGAGTTGGGAGGGACTTTAGAGGTCTTCTAGTCCAACTCACTGCTCAAGCAGGAGACCCTAGACCATTTCAATCAATCAATCAATCAATCAGTGGAAGGGACCTTGGAGGTCTTCTAGTCCAGCCCCCTGCTCAAGCAGGAGACCCTAGACCATTTCAATCAATCAATCAATCAATCAATCAATCAATCAATCAATCGGTGGAAGGGACCTTGGAGGTCTTCTAGTCCAGCCCCCTGCTCAAGCAGGAGACCCTAGACCATTTCAATCAATCAATCAGTGGAAGGGACCTTGGAGGTCTTCTAGTCCAGCCCCCTGCTCAAGCAGGAGACCCTAGACCATTTCAATCAATCAATCAATCAATCAATCAATCAATCGGTGGAAGGGACCTTGGAGGTCTTCTAGTCCAGCCCCCTGCTCAAGCAGGAGACCCTAGACCATTTCAATCAATCAATCAATCAATCAATCAATCAATCGGTGGAAGGGACCTTGGAGGTCTTCTAGTCCAACCCCCTGCTCAAGCAGGAGACCTTATTCTATTCCTGTCAAATGGTTGTCCAATCAATTCTTTAAAAAAAACTCCCAATTTGAGGATTGCTTCGGGGGTTTAATTGGAGGCAATTCAGAGATGCTGCCATGTCCTGGAATCCAATCCTTCTGAAGACCTGGAGACGTTCAGCCTCAGTCTTCCTTCCCTGGGGGCCTTCAAACAGAGGCTGGAAGGTCGCCTGGCCCGAGGGGGTTGGACTAGATGCCCTCGCGGGACCCTCCCGGCTCAGTCATTTTGCCACCCGATGTAAAACTCCAAAGCTAGAGACAGGAGAGATGGGTGGGGGGAGGGGGGAAGAAAACCCAAACTCTCTCTGCACCGAACTTCTCCTGCCTGCTAAACCTGGTCTCCCACATCCTCCCTCTTTTTAAACCAGGATCGCCATCCAAGTTTTCTTTTAGAGACAAATGCAGACATTTCCCTGCAGGACACGAAACCCCGCAGCAGCGGGAGAGCCAAGGCTGAGTGGTCCAGGTTCAGTGGACCGGAGACGCTTGGCGAGAGACGGTCGGGCAGGCGGGCAGCCAAGAGGGCAGCCAGCCAGACGTTCAATTCCAGGGCCGAGACGGTGTGGGGCAGCCTGGGGAGCTAATCAAAATAGAAAGGAGGAAACACACACACACACACACACATACACACACATGCAGAAGAGTGTGCTGTCTTAACTAGATGTGGCTGCAGAAACAAAGGGTGGGGAGATGATCAGCTGGAGTGTGTTTTTGTACTCTTTCCTCTTTAAAAAAAATATAACCATCAATTTAAGGATGTTGAGTCCTCTTTCTCCTCCACCAAGATCCTCAATGAGGGATCCTACGGTTTTCGAAGAAAGGAATGGGGCAGGGAGGGGAGAAGGAGGGAAGAAAGGAGGATAAAAGAGGGAGGGAGGGAGGAAAGAAGGAAGGAAGGAAGGGAAAGTAGGAGAAGGAAGAAAGGGAAGGAAGATGGAAAGGAGGGAGGGAGAGAGAAAGAAAGAAAGAAAGAAAAAGAAGGAAGGAAGGAAGTTGAGAGAAGGAAAGTAGAAGGAAGGAAGAAGGGAAGGAAGGAATGGAGGAAGGAAGGAAGGAAGAAGAGGAAAGTAAGAGAAGAAAAGATGGAAGGAAGGAAGGAGGGGAGGAAGGAAGGAAGGAGAAGGAGCAAGGAGAGAGAAACAAGGCCAGGAAGGAGAAGGAGAAAAGGAAGGAAAAAATGAAAAAAGGAAGGAAGGAAGGAAGGAAGGAAGGAAGGAAGAAAAGGAAGGGAGCGAGAGAAATGAATTGAAGGAAGAGGGAAGGGAAGAAAATAAAGGGATGGCTGTCAGTCTTCTTAACAGCAATTACATGTATAGTTTAACACCCCCCTCTCAGATTTCAACACAATTTCCTTCCCCCCCCCCCGTAATCTACCCTGTTTAAGCCCCAAAGCCATGTATCATGTTCATTTCTTTTCAGCACTAATAAACATAGTTATTGTTCTTCCTTTAATCAAGCATGTCAATTTTGCCAACCCTAGTAATTTTGTCATCCTCCCCCTCGTCCGTTTCTCCATCATGCATATCCCAGAGACTTGATTTGGAAGCTGTGCCCTTCTTTTTTCTCTCTCTCTGCCAATTTTCCCTGGTTGCAGAAAGCCAAATTAATAGATTTATACGAGGGTTGCAAAAAAAAATAAAATACAATACAATACAAAAACGGTGCTCGCTTAACTGTAGCGCAAGCCGGACTTCTAAAACCCTGAATATGTTCACATTTTACAATTCAACCTCTCATGTTGAACAGACCAACATGAGCCCAGCGTGACTCAAACCACAGTGTGTCATTTGTTAATGTTTTCTGATTGGGTCTGTTTACCCCTTATGTAGTAGAAACATGTTTGCTATTAATCTTAGCTTTCCTTCTTTTTTTTTAACTCACAAAAATATTTCTATTCTTTGTAGCTAATCTACAGAAGAAGAAAAAAACACACACACGTAAGAGAGTTGACAACATTTTAGAACTTTGGAACTTACCCAAAGGAGTAAAAAAAAAAAAAAAAAACTTGGGAAATTTATTTTATAGACAGTGATCAAAATTAGTCCAGACTGTTTCCAAGTTCATTTTATTTAATAGAAGGCCAAGGAAAAAAAATACAAATAACTTTTGGCTTTCTTGCTTGAAATTGTTGTGTTCCTACATCTGGATGGACATTATCGGTGGAGAGATTTATTACTTTGCAGTAGCAAAAAAAAAAATCAAGAATCTGGTAGCAATTTTTTTTCAACCGAGAAATCAATGAATCAGAATAAGAACTGGAAGGGACCTTGGAGGTCTTCTAGTCCAACCCCCTGCTCAAGCAGGAGACCCTACCATTTCAATCAATCAATCAGTCAATCAATCAATCAATCAATCAATCAATCAGAATAAGAGCTGGAAGGGACCTTGGAGGGAGGAAGGAAGGAAGGAAGGAAGGAAGGAAAGGAAGGAAGGAAGGAAGGAAGGAAGGAAGGAAGGAAGGAAGGAAGGAAGGAAAAGTAGGAGAAGGAAGAAGCGAAGGAAGATGGGAAGGGGGGAGGGAGGGAGGAAGAAAGGAAGGAGAAAGGTTAAGGAAAGAAAGGAAGAAAAAAAGAAACAAAGAAAAAAAGAAAGAATGAGAGAAGGGGAAAGTAGAAGGAAGGAAGAAGGGAAGGAAGAAAAGGAGGAAGGAAGGAAAGAAGGGGAAATTCCCCTTCTAACACCCCCCCCGTTGTTTTGTGAGTTTTGCTTTGACCAGCCACCTGTGTTGACACCCAGAGACAATTGTCTGGGGGGGGGGAGAGACTTGGCCGTCGAAGCTTGTTGTTGCTTCCATCTTGTTTCCCTTCCAGATGTTGACGAGTGCCAAACTCACAACGGGGGCTGCCAGCACAGATGTGTCAACACCCCGGGGAGCTATCACTGCGAGTGCAAGACGAGCTTTCGTCTCCACGCGGACGGCCGGACGTGTCTCCGTAAGTCTGGTGGGCTTTGGAGCATCCCCTGCAATGCATTGTGGGAAAATCCATGGGAAAATCCATCCATGGACGGATGGGGCCTGTCTCTTTTTTAAGGCATTTAAGCAAAGAAGAGAGGGAGGGAGGGAGGGAGGGAGGAAAGGAAGGAAGGAAGGAAGGAGAAAAGAAAAAAAATACAAAATTAAGGTTTCTGGGCAGAGAGGAGATTTAAGCCTCATTATTCAGACTTCTAATCTAGCAACATGTTCACTGCAACACCACAACAGGAAGAAATATGGATTGATTTCTTCTCCCCCCTCCAACTTTTACAGGAATTTTGGCTAAAAACTACAGTCAGAAATCAAGACATTAAACGTCGATCAGCAAGGCAGAATCTAAAAAGAAAAAACCAAACTAGCCCTTTTAAAACATCGGCTTCAGAGTGGAAACTTTGCATCTCTTTTTTCCTCCCGTTTTGGGGATCCCCCTTTTCATCCTCGACTTTTGGGCCCCCCCCGAACGGTGCATAAATCGTGATTTTATTTTCCCCCCTCCCTTCTCGTTCTCTTCAGAGTTTTTCAGCTTCGATTCTCGGGCGTCTGTTTGAGTTTTATCTTTTGCCAAGCGTCTGGTCCTCATTATCTGTCCCAGGCTGGAATTTCCTCAGGGCCAGGGGCAATGCAAACAAAATGTGTACATTTTGGCCGAGGCAGTTTGGAAAAACCGTCGAGGTTCAGACGGGGTGAGCCTAAGTTTGGGTGGGTGGGAAAAATGATCCCCTCGGAAAACTGCAAAATTTCAGGAGGCGGCGAGAAAAAAAAAAAAGAGCAGGAAACGCAGAGTCTAAATTTAAGACGAAAAGCACCAAAATATCTTTGCAAACCTACTGATCTTCACTGCCACCGATGACAACTTAAATTCTTTCTAATTGCTTCGATGCCCGCACGATTTTCATTGATGTAATCTCTCTTTCTTTCTTTCTTTCTCTCTCTTTCTCTCTCTCTCTCTCTTTCTCTCTCTCTTTTTTTCTTTCTTTCTCTTTCTCTTTCTTTCTCTTTCTCTTTCTCTCTCTCTCTCTTTCTCCTTCTCTCTCTCTTCTGTTTTTTCTCTCTCTCTCCCTCTCTGTCTCTCTCTCTCTCTGTCTCTCTCTCTCTCTCTCTCTCTCTCTCTTTTGGACCCTTCAATGGAAGGATAACTAATCAAATTGTGGGAATGCTTCCGTGTTTTGAATAATTCAATATCTTTAAAAAAAAAAAATCCCACATGGTATTCAGGAAAAAAAAACCCTTTCCTAGCTGCAATTTAATACATGGATTTGTACCACGTATAAAACGTATGTTTCTCTATTTGCAGAAGTTGTATTTTATTTTTGCAGGAGGTCAAAAACCCAAAAGGGAATTTTGCTAGCCTGGATTGAATTTATTATAATATTATTCTGCGGTTTATAGTGAGCTGAGCAGAGGCTTTGATGTTCATTCTTAGCTGGGAGTTTAGCAGTGGGGTTTTGTTTTTTGTTTTTTGTCTGTAACGAGGGGGATTTTGGAAGCTTGTGTCACACAAAAACACAAAAGGGGTTGTGTAAAAATGTCTCTGGTTGTGGCTCAGAGAAGGGCAGTAGAAAAGCTTCGGGCTAGAAATGCTTCTATTATGCATGGATCAAATTTGGCTTTAGGCCACATCGAAAGAAAGAAAGAAAGAAAGAAAGAAAGAAAGAAAGAAAGAAAGAAAGAAAGAAAGAAAGAAAGAAAGAAAGAAAGAAAGAAAGAAAGATGAATAAACGAAAGAAAAAGAATGAAAGGAAAAGAAAGAGAGAGAGAGAGAGGGAGAGAGGAAGGAAGGAAGGAAAAAAGAAATGAAGGGAAGGGAAGAAAGGAACGAAGGAAGGAAGGAAGGAAGAAAGGAAGGAAGGAAGATAACTTTAAGGTAGGTGGACCAATTCCCAGAATTCCTGGCTGGGTTAGAGTTGGCTGGGGAATTCTGGGTGTTGAAGCCCACCCAGTTTTGAAAAAAAAACTGCTATAGAGTTTAAATACCATTTTTCTACGGTTAAAATTGTTTTAACATTAGCAATGGATTGAATTGCTCGTTCGATGGTTTTAAGAAATGGATTTTATTTCTCCTGAAACTCACATCTCCCCTTTAGGACAAAGAGAAGCCCCCAGATCATGTGTGTGGCTCCACCAGTTGGACTCCAACCTGGTTGGCGTGTCTGTGGTTGCACCTGTTGGACTTCCACCCGTGTGACCCCTTTCTTTTCTTTCTTCCCCCCCACCCACTAGCTGGCAACCCCTGTGCCATCAACAACGGAGGGTGTGAACACGATTGCGTGCAGCTCAGCTTTTTGCAGCACCGGTGCCAATGCCGGCCCAATTACCAGCTGAAAGAGGACGGAAGACACTGCGTGGGTGAGTCCCCTGAACTCCGGGAGGGCCCCAGAAACCTAAAATAATAATAAAATTAATCAAAGGATATGCCTGTAAATTTACATGGCTGCTCCTTTTGTGAAGCAATCTTTCTTTTAGATTATTAGTCGTTCCTCCCCTGGATACACAGAGGACTAGAGTATTGCACTGAGGACTAGACTGATGAATTAAATATTTAAAGCAAACAAGCTGACGCTCCTTTCTCGCTCGTTCTTGGTGCCCTTCTGACATAGTCTCTAGCTTTGTTCTGACTGGACGACCGTTTGTCTGAAAGGGTGACTATAGGGTTTCCTGCCTGAGCAGGGGGCTGGACTAGAAGACCTCCAAGGTCCCTTCCAGCTCGTTGTTATTATTATTACCACAATTGTCATTGTTATTAATATTATCATAATTATCATTATCATTATTATTATTTTCCCCCCTGGTTTCATTCATTCAGGCGTAGTGCCTGTCAGTTTCCCACAATTAACACGCGACTCCTTCTGTCTCCCAGTGAGGAATCCATGCGCCACCCAGAACGGAGCCTGCATGCACAAATGCCACAACCACAATGGGGTGGCGCGCTGCGAATGCCACCCTGGCTACCGACTGGGGCCGGATCGCAAAACCTGCCAAGGTAAGGAAGCACCTCTGAAGATTTGTCGAAAGGAACCATTCCGATCAATTTTGATTATAATTTAAAATGTCAGCGTTAATAAACGTGCTGTGACAGCCGTTGGTTTCTTCATCTAGAACTTAACAAGATTGTCTCTGTGCTTTTTACACGATAAATGTTTGGGTCTTTAGTAGATTATTTTGTATTAATAGAATAGAGCTGGAAGGGACCCTGGAGGTCTTCTAGTCCATCCCCCTGCTCAAGCAGGAGGACCTACACCATCTCAGACAAGTGACTGTCCAATCTCTTATTAAAAATCTCCAGTGATGGAGGGCCCACGATTTCTGGTGGCAAGCCGTTCCACTGGTTGATTGTCCTCACTTAATTCCTTAATTCCAGGTTGCTTCTCTCCTTGATCAGTTAAGTTAAGATTATTATCGTTTGACCGCGATCTGAACACCAATAGATTAAATATAATCCAACAGCTCCCTTTTTACGCGCGTCTTCATTACAATATTGATAAACATTCAGGCATCCTCAAACGGCAGATCATTTTCTCGTGGCGCTCCTTTTAACCCAGATATAGACGAATGCGTGACGGGGATGGCGATGTGTGCGCACCAATGTCTGAACACTCACGGCTCCTACAAATGTTTGTGCAGCCTTGGCTACGAACTCGGAGTGGAAGGCAAGCAGTGTTACCGTGAGTTTTACATATATATATATAAAGAATATATATATATAAAGAATTCATCCACAGAGATTGCAAAAAGATCAATAATCGGGAACAATGCGAGCGAACGCTTCAATTAGATTGCAAAAATTAAATTAAAAGAGAAACTCTCCCGTGAGAAGGGATAATAATAATAATAATAATAACTAATAATAATAATAATAATAATAATAATAATAATAATAATAATAACTAATAATAATAATAATAATAACAATAATAGTAATAATAATAAAGTTGGAAGGGACCTTGGAGGTCTTCTAGTCCAACCCCCTGCTCAATCAGGAGACCCTGGAACATTTCAATCAATCAGCCTAGAGTTGGAAGGGACCTTGGAGGTCTTCTAGTCCAGCCCCTTGCTCATCAGGCCAATATAAATCGAATCTCCCCATTTTAGAGGAAGGTCACTTAGATGAATTAGCCACTTTCCAAACCTGGACAGGACGGGGAAATTTGCCAAAATTTGGACTGGGTTCGGGAGGGGTCTGCAAGGGACTTTGCGATCACAAGTTTTGTTTAGATTTATTTTCCACCCTCTTAATTTCCTCCCAGGGATAGAGATGGAAATCGTGAACAGCTGCGAAACCCACAACGGGGGCTGTTCCCACTTGTGCCATCACACCAGCGCCGGCCCGGCCTGCGGCTGCAACTTCGGATACAACCTGGATGAAGACCAAAAGACTTGCGTCGGTGAACAATCGTCGCTCCATTTTGTCGCCGAGAAAAAAGCCGGGTTTTAGGATAGAAGAGGAACGTCTGGGTGGAGCGAAAGAAATCGCTTTCACTTTTGCACAACTTTGTGCAAGGGCGATTTTGCCACACTTGGGCTACTTCCCAAATTCTGCCTTGGCGTTCGTTTGCAAACTATTTTTTTTGTTAGTAATAGTTGTGGGTTTTGTTTTTTTTCCGGGCGACGTTATTCGGAGTGTCCTTTTTCAGCCGACTTGGGAGGGGGGGGGAATCCAAAGGAGGGGGGTAAATTCAGCCACACAACGTCGCTTGTGATGTGCGTTAAGTGTCACGCCAACACAACCTGAAGGTCCCTCTCTTTCCAGATACCGATGAATGCAGCGCGGGCTCACACTGCTGCCAACAAGGGTGTTACAATTATCCCGGCGGATACGAGTGTGTTTGTTATGCAGGCTATCAGCTCAACCCCGCAGGCTGCAGTTGCGACGGTAGGTTGAGCGGAAGGGATCTCGGAGGTCATCTAGTCTGACCCCCCACACCCACCTTATCCCGGACAGGAATCTGCTTGCAAGTTGACTCCGGTTTTATTTTATTTTATTTTTCCCCTCCAGACCTGGACGAGTGTTCGGCCAATAACGGCGGCTGCGAACACTTTTGTCGGAATCTGGCGGGCTCCTTTCTCTGCAGCTGCCGGATCGGGTTCAAGCTCGGCGAAGATCGTAGAAGCTGCCTCTGTGAGTGTGGCCTCTGTGGGACGGGAGGACTTGAACTCGGCTCTGAGTCCCCCCCCGGAAGAGCGAAATAAATTTCGCCATCTGATGCTGACCGAGGGACTTTTTAGAGGGCTGTTTTGAGGGCTGGTTTGGTGCATTTGCTCTGCTCATGTTTCCAGTCCTCTCTGTTCCCACCTCCGCAGCCCTGGAGGAGCCCACGGAGGCCGTGGATGGACGGCGACCGGTGATCCGTCCCCTCCCCCACGTGGCTCTTTTCCAGGAGGAGCTCAGCCGGCTTTTTGAGGAAGACTACGAGGATGAAGAGGGAGAGGGGGCCGAGGCCAGAGGGGAACACACCGTCTCGGAGACATTCAGTAGGTGCCGAGATGAACTGCAAAAAGCCTGGCTGTCTTTTTCCTTCCTTCCTTCCTTCCTTCCTTCCTTCCTTCCTTCCTTCCTTCCTTCCTNCCCTCTCCTTCCTTCCTTCCTTCCTTCCTTCCTTCCTTCCTCCCTCCCTCCCTCCCTCTCCTTCCTTCTTTCCTTCCCTCTCTCCTTCCTTCCTTCCTTCCTTCCCTTCTCCCCTTCCCTCCCTTCCTTTCTTCCTCTCTCCCTCCCTCTCCTTCCTTCCTTCCTTCCTTCCTTCCTTGAAAAAAAAGCACTTTCCGGCTTGCAACATCCCCTGTAATGTTTCCTCTTTTTCTTTTCCTCTCTCCCTGCTCCTCGCAGTCTGCCTGGACGACACCTTCGGCCCCGACTGCAGCCTCTCGTGCGAAAGATGCCAGAACGGCGGCCGGTGCAACCAGCACCGGACCGGCTGCATCTGTGCCGATGGATGGAGGGGTCTGCTGTGCAACGAAAGTGAGTCCCCAGGGCGACAGACAAGGGCCCCGGAAGCAGCAGTGCGGGGTGGGAAAGAAGCAGGCCGGCTGGGGAATTCTGGGAGTTGAAGTCCGTCCGTCGGCCCAAATGAGAAGCTGAGATTGGGTCTCGGTGCTTGGCAGGGGATTATGGGAGTCACCACCAGTCTCCCTTTTCACAGCCTGCCCCAACGGGACCTTTGGGAAGAACTGCAGCTCCACCTGCCCCTGTCAAAATGGAGGCAGCTGCCATCCGGTGACGGGCGCCTGCCGCTGCCCCCCCGAAGCCAGTGGGGACCTCTGCGAAGATGGTAAGACGGCAACATTCCCCCCCCCCATCCAGATGTGCTCAGGACGTCTTTCCCGGCTGACCCCCCCAAAACCTGGATTCTGGATAACCTCCCCCCCCCCTCTCCAACCTTAAGATTCCTCCGAATAGATCCTGGGAATGCCCCACTGAATTCCGGGCAGCCCTCCAGTTAACGGCCATCAAGGAGCCTTGCTGACCCTTGGGGCAATAGGGCTAAAATGGGCACAGGTAGTCCCCGACTTATAACCACAACAGAGCCCAAAGTTCCTGTCGCTAAGCGAGAGGTGTTGAATTGTGCGTCTGTTTGTCTCTCCTTCACAACTTCCCTCCCTTGGCTGGCTTTGTCTCTTTCAGTCTGTCCGAGGGGATTTTTTGGGAAAAACTGCGGGAAAAAATGCCACTGCGCCAACCGGGGACGATGCCACCGGGTTTTCGGCACCTGTCTCTGCGATCCGGGACGCTACGGCCGCTTTTGCCACCTAGGTCAGTGCCCCAGGGGTGGCAGCTGCTCCCCAGAGAGAGAGAGAGAGAGAGAGAGAGAGAGAGAGAGAGAGAGAGAGAGAGAGAGAGAGAGACACCCCCCCAGGAGACCCCCTTGATCCCCCGTCCTTCCCCTCTTTTCAGCTTGCCCAAAGTGGGCATACGGGACCGGCTGTTCGGGGGAGTGCCGCTGCGTGCAAGCCAACACACAGCACTGCGACAAGCGAGACGGCGCTTGTGTGTGCAAGCCTGGGTATCGCGGGGACAGGTGCCAAGCGAGTAAGTTGGGGTCGGGAGGGGATGGGCGAGAGGGCTCCAATCGGCTGACCCGGTTCCCGGCTGGATCGGAGCCGGATGGATGAAGAGCTGGGGGCTGCGTTCACACAACGGGCCAAGCTCGGTTCGATGTATCCTGGGTTTGCTTTCGTTGTGTGGTGTGTTGGGCCCGGTTCAGAACCTGTTGGGCGATTGCCTTCCATGGTCTGGTGGGGTAAGGGTGTAGGGAGATTTGAACCCAAGACCTTCTGATTTATATTTGGATGTAGAAGGGGAAAACCTGGTGTCTTCCAATGTTTCGGGACCAACTCCCATCTCTCTCCTTCCTTCCTTCCTTCCTTCCTTCCTTCCTTCCTTCCTTCCTTCCTTCCTTCCTTCTCTTTCTTTCTTTCTTTCTTTCTTTCTTTCTTTCTTTCTTTCTTTCCTTCCTTCCTTCCTTCCTTCCTTCCTTCCTTCCTTCCTTCCTTCCCTTTTTCACTTTTCCTCCCACCCTCTCTCCTGCTTTCTCCTTCCTTCCTTCCTTCTTTCCTTTCCATTTTTCCTTCCCCTCTCTATCCTTTTCCCTTCCTTCCTTCCTTCCTTCCTTCCTTCCTTCCTTCCTTCTTTCCCTCCTTCCTTCCTTCCTTCCTGCCTTCCTTCTTTACTTTTCCTCCCACCCTCTCTCCTGCTTTTTCCTTCCTTCCTTCCTTCCTTCCTTCCTTCCTTCCTTCCTTTCCTTCATTCTTTTCACTTTTCCTCCCACCCTCTCTCCTTTTTCTTTCCTTCCTTTCATTTTTCCTCCCCCTCTATGCTGCTTTTCCACTCCTTCCTTCCTTCCTTCCTCTTTCATTTTTCACCTCCCTCTCTCTCTATCCTGCTTTCTCCTTCCTTCCTTCCATCAGTGGTTCTCTGTGCTTGAGTTGGACACACAACAGACAGCTTGCCCACCCAGATGTTCTCCTGAGTGGTTCCCCCTTAACCCCGAGGTGTGACACGGAGTTTCTGTTCCGCAGTGTGTGACCCAGGCCGTTTCGGGCCAGGCTGCAGGCACAAGTGTGGGTGTCCCTCTGGCGTGGCCTGTGACCCCGTGGGCGGAGAATGTCCCCAGCAGTGTCCAGAGGGCTACTATGGAGAGAAGTGCCAGCAAGGTAAGTCTGGCCTTGGTGAATCTTCTGGGGAAGAGCCAGAATATTGGGGGGAAAAGTAGGATTTATTCTGCCAGCTCAGAACCCGGAAGAGGGGGGGGGAGTTGTGTATTTGCCAAAATTTGTGGTTCGCAATGGGATGCTGCTCGTTAGCTAATTAAAGCAGACAAAGAACGGCTTAGTGAACGGATAAATTGGATTTTTTTGGGCACTGATCAGGAGGGCAACGTTGGAGCCCAGCAAGAATTTGATCCAGCACATCACAAAAAGAGATTTTTTAAAAATAAATCTTTTTCCCCCCCTCCTCTTTAGAGTGCCCTGAAGGGAAATTTGGAGTGAATTGTCTTCACTCCTGCTCTTGTAATGGTTCTCCTTGCAGTCGGTCCACTGGGGAATGCCGTTGCGTAACTGGGAAAACTGGGAAGTCTTGTGAACAAGGTAAATTAACTCTACTCTACTCTACTCTACTCTACTCTACTCTACGTCTATTCTAATTATTATTCTATTCTATTCTCTTCTATTCTAGTCTAGTCTAGTCTAGTCTAGTCTAGTCTCGTCTACCCTACCCTACCCTACCCTACCCTACTCTACCCTACTCTACCCTACTCTAGTCTAGGTTTCAGTCCACGTTGTGTTTCTCCTCCTTCTACAGGATGTCCTGAAGGCCACTGGGGAGATGGCTGCCAACAACTTTGTCCAGAATGCCAGAATAAGGGCCGTTGTGACCCCATCACTGGTGCCTGCTTGTGTCCCTCTGGATACACAGGGAACCGTTGTGAAGAGGGTAATCTGCTTCTGTTGCTTTTAGAGCCGTCTCCGGTGGCTTTCCTCTGACCACCTCCTGGAGGCCTTGGGTTCTTAGGAGAACGCAGCCCCTTCTTCACGGTGGCTTCCATTCTTTGTCTCCGTAAGGTCTCCAAATTTGGGGATGGGCTTTTGCTTTTTTTATGGGGTCCCTGTCTGTTACCCCTAGTTTGGTGAATTACCTACCAGTGGCAGGAAATTTGGGAGCACCTCCAAGAATAAATGGCCAAACTACATGTTACACCCAATTGTTTATGGAGAGGGGAGGGAAGGAGAGGGGAGAAGGAGGGAAAGGGAAAGGAAAGAAGGAAAGGGAAGGGAAGGGAAGGGAAGGGAAGGAAGGAAGGAAGGAAGGAAGGAAGGAAGGAAGGAAGGAAGGAAGGATAAGAATAAATGGCCAAACTACATGTTACACTCAACTGTTTATGGAGAGGGGAGAAGGAGGGAAAGGGAAAGGAAGGAAGGGAAGGGAAGGGAAGGGAAGGGAAGGAAGGAAGGAAGGGAAGGAAGGAAGGAAGGAAGGAAAGGGAAGGGAAGGGTGTGAAAGGGAGGGAGGGAGGATGTAGAAACATATGAATGACCTGATCTTTTCAACAAATAATTCCACTTTCTTTTTTCTCCCGTTTCCCCTTTCAGTCTGTCCACCGGGCTGGTTTGGGCAAGGATGCCAACTCCAGTGTAACTGTGACAACGAAGGCGATTGCGATCCCCAAACAGGGAAGTGTAGCTGTGCCCCTGGATGGACCGGCTATCGCTGCCAAAGAGGTGAAAACAAAACAACAAAAAGTTGGCGATGATCCTGCCAACCTTGAGGATTATTTGAGACCCTCTTTTTTCTCTTTCCCAAAGGCTTTCCAGGCCACGGAGGTCACAAGAAAAATCCCCGTTGTAGACATTGTAGAAACATAACTTTAAGCAACCTGAAATGCAATAAAGACGCTTAAAATGGTATTTCTACAGTGTCCTACAATTGTTTCCAACAACACAACCATCTAAGCCCTCTTTGTGTAATTGCAATAATCCAATAAATACGAATATAAACAGCTAGATAGAGATACAGATATTCAAGAAACCTTAGATTATGTCTTATTATAGAGTTTCCTATTATGGGGATTATATTATATCTCTACCCAAATCTGTCTCTGTAAGAAGACCTAATTTAAGTGTCTTTCACTTTTGCTTTCCTTCCTTTCCTATCTCTCACCTGTGTTCCTGCTCTTACTTTCACTTTCCCTCCCCTCCCTTCTTTCCTATCTCTCCCCTTTGCTCCTGTTCTTACTTTCACTTTCACTTTCCCTCCTTTTCCTTCACCTTTGCTCCTGCTCTTACTTTCACTTTTCCTCCCCTTCCTTGGTTCCTATCTCTCCCCTTTGCTCCTGTTCTTACTTTCACTTTCACTTTCCCTCCTTTTTCTTCACCTTTGCTCCTGCTCTTACTTTCACTTTTCCTCCCCTCCCTTCTTTCCTATCTCCCACCTTTTGTTCCTGCTCTTACTTTCACTTTCACTTTCCCTCCTTTTCTCTCTCACCTTTGCTCCTGCTCTTACTTTCACTTTTCCTCCCTTCCCTTCTTTCCTATCTCCCACCTTTTGTTCCTGCTCTTACTTTCACTTTCACGTTTCCTCCCCTCCCTTCTTTCCTCTCTCTCACCTTTTGTTCCCGCTCTTACTTTCGCTTTCACTTTTCCCTCCCTCCCTTCGTTTTTTTTTTAAATTCTTCCTGCCTTGGGTCTTTTCCAGCCTGCGAGCCAGGACACTGGGGTCCGGACTGCACCCACCCCTGCAACTGCTCCGGGGCGGAGGGAAGCTGCAACCCGGTGACCGGGCAGTGCCTTTGCGAAGCCGGCTACGTCGGCCTGCGTTGCGATCAGAGTGAGTCCCCTTCTTCGCGGGGACTCGCACCCCGAGGTCCCTTGGCTGTCTTTGGGTCTGTGCAAGGAGGGCGCCCTTCAGCTGGGTGTGTGTGTGTGAGTTTCGACAGCGCGCACGGCTGTGGTTTGATAACGGCGGGTTTTGAAAAGTTGAGGCTTCCTCTTCCCAGCCCGAAGGTCCTTCTACCAGCAGAATTTGGCGCTTGGATCTTTTTTCTAAAAAATAATCCTTCCTTCCTTTCTCTGTTTTAATTTCACCCTTCTTTCCTGCTCGCTTTTTCCACATTCACTTCCTTCCTTCCTCCATTTTCTCTTTCCCGTCCTTTCTTCCTTTTCTCCCTGCCTCCCGTCCTTTTTCACGCTTTCATGCTTTCTCCCTCTTTTTCTTTCACTTTTCTTTCCTTCCTTCCTTCCTTCCCTCCTTCCTTTTCTCTTTACCTCTCACCTTTGTTCCTGCTTACTTTCCCTTTCACCCTTCCCTCCCTTTTCTCTCTCCCTTTTTCCTGCTTTCTTTCACATTCCTTTCTTTTTCCTCTCTCACCTTGGTTCCTGCTCTTACTTTCCCTCTTCCTTCCCTTCCTTTCTCTCACCTTTGTTCCCATCCTTACTTTCACTTTCACTCCCTTATTTTCTACCTCTCACCTTCCTTCCTGCTTTTCCTTCCACTTTCTCCTTCCCTCCCATCTTTCCCTCCCCATCCCACCTGTTTCTCCTGCTCTCCCTTGCGCTTTCACTTTTGTTTCCTTCCCCATTTTTTCCCCCTCTTTTTCCTCCCAAGAGTGCCCCGAAGGCTGGTTCGGTCCCCATTGCCAGGGGAGATGCCAGTGCCACCACCGAGGAGCCTGCGACCACGTCAGCGGCACCTGCACTTGCGCCCCGGGCTGGAGAGGAACATTTTGCGAGCGGGGTAAGTCTGCGGGGTAAGTCTGCGCCCTGCTGGGAGGCACCGAAGTGGGCTCAGCGCCTGGCTGAATGCGCCCCCATTGAGCCATCCTGCGGTCTTTGGGAGGGAGAAAAATGGTGATGGACTTTGCGAATGGCCTCGGGAGACAGAAGGCAGAGCCACAGACTAGGCCACCGTCAGATAAGAGGCAGCTGAGCCCAGAGAAGGAAAAGGGGCATGGGACTACCTCGCAAGACTGGCAGCGGTTTCACTCTTCACCCCCTCCCGCTATCTGAATCCAGTGCACAACTTTTTCCCCCCGGTGATGCCACTTCTCCTGGCACTAAGAATTCCCGATTCTCTCTTCTCAGCTTGTCCCGATGGCTTTTACGGGCTGGACTGCCGGCATGGATGCCGCTGCCTCAACGGAGCCCGTTGTGATGCTGTGACGGGCCATTGCCGCTGCGCCGCGGGCTGGATCGGACCACACTGCCAACAGAGTGCGTCTCCGGGCATAAAAATGGGATCTCCCCCTTAGTTGCCTGGATCCGAAGGCGCATTCACTGGGGTCCCTCTCTCTCTCTCTCTCTGTGTCTGTCTGAAGGTTGCCCGGCTCTCCGCTACGGCGAGAACTGCAGCCAGGAGTGCCGCTGCGCCCACGGAGCCTCCTGCCACCCCGTCACGGGGCGATGCCTCTGCGCACCAGGGTGGGTTGGTGCCACGTGCCAGCAAGGTATTTTGTGAGGGGTCCTTGCAGACGTTGCATGACCCAGCTAGGTAACATCATCAGTGCTGGGAGGGAGGGGGGTCTTCAAAGGAAAAACAACGAAGTCCAGCGGCCTCTCGAAAAAGCACCTTTGGGACAGTCTGTTTCTCCCATTTTCTCCTTTTTCTGCCTTCGCAGGCTGTCCGCCGGGATTTTACGGGTCCGGCTGCCAGCAGGAATGCCTCTGCCAAAACGGCGGAATCTGCGATCCGGTTTCTGGCCGCTGCGTCTGTCCGGAAGGCTGGATGGGGCTGGCTTGTGAGCTGGGTAAGGAAAAGGCATCTGGGTTTTTAATTTCGCCCCCCCCCAACTCAGTTAACGACGGTCTCGCTTAGTGACGGAAATTTGGCACGGTCGTAAGACGAGGACCGCCCGTATCGGAGGTGTCTCCTTTCTTTAGAGTGTGTCGAAGGAAAACATGGGCTGGGCTGCCGAGGGAGTTGCGACTGTGTAAATGGAGGCCGGTGTGACGGGAAGAGTGGGCGTTGCCTTTGCCGTGATGGCTGGACCGGTGAAAAGTGCCAGGAAGGTAATCCGTAAGGGCATTGGCTTTTTTTCCTTGGTGGCCGGCGGGAGATAGGTCACTACAGGTAATCCTCAACTTACAAACATTCGTTTAGCGTCCATCTAAAGTTACAACGGCCCTGGACCTAGATGGGCGTGTGTGTGCAACTCCTTGGAATATATTGCAAACCGGTTGGTCATAGTGGAATTACTAAGGGTCCCTAGAGGTCATCCAGTCCAGCCCCCCCCCATCTGCAGGGCATCTTGAATAAAAGCCCTAATATGTACCAGTAGTACATACAATGAGTAGAATTCTTGAGCAGTTCCTCTTCTTTCTCCCAGCCTGCCCCGAAGGGACGTACGGGAAAGGCTGCCGGGATACGTGCGAGTGTGAACATGGGGTCTTGTGCGATCCTGTCACGGGGGCTTGTGAATGCCCACCCGGATGGCGCGGATCCCGTTGCGAGAAAGGTGACAGCTGCCAAGAGGATTGTTCCTGTCTGAATAACCCTTTTGGGGATGGGGGTGGAGGGAGGGAGGGAGGGAGTGTGGGGGGGAGGAACTCTGCACATGCTCTGCGCCCCGGTGCGGTGTTTTGTGTTTCTATTGGAGGGGCGATTTTCACTTAAAAAAAGAAAAAAAAGCTTCTGGGTCCTTTCACTTTGAATCTCGAATTCTGGGTTGGCCAATCGCAGGATTATAGAGAACTGGAATGGGAAGGGACCCCCCTAAGGGTCATCTAGCCCACCCCTCTGCAAAGGAGTGAAAGCATCCATGTGTGGGAATGGTTCCTTCTTGGATGGATGAATGAATGAATGAATGAATGAATGAATCCTTCCTTCCTTCCTTCCTTCCTTCCTTCCTTCCTTCCTTCCTTCCTTCCTTCCTTAATGAATGAATGAATGAATGAATGAATGAAAACAAATACAGAATAACAGAGTTGGAGGGGACCTTGGAGGTCTTCTAGTCCAGCCCCCCTGCTCAAGGCAGGAGACCCTAGGCCTAGACCAGGGGTCTCCAACCTTGACCATTCTAAGACTTCTGGACTTCAGCTCCCACGCTGGCTGAGGAATTCTGGGAGTTGAAGTCCACAAGTCGTAAAGTTGGCCAAAGTCGGAGACCCCTGCCCTCGACCATGAATGAACGAACATGGGTGGGACCGGATGGGACTACAGCTCCCAGCAGTCATGGGGAGCGGTGAACACCCCTCAAATTAACCCCCCCCCACCAAGAACCAATGAGAAATATCGCCTAGCTTGGCTGTTACTTCCTATTTGCAATCTCCTGGCTGCCAAAATCCAAATTTTTCCTTGTTTTCTTGACTCTCTCCCCACCCCCACCCCCGCAGCCTGCCTGCCCGGTTCGTTTGGGAAGGGCTGCACCACGAAGTGTGACTGTCCCTCGGGCTCTCCTTGCAACCACATCACCGGCCGCTGCCGCTGCCCGCCGGGATTCACGGGCCACGGATGCGAGAAGCGTAAGTCCGGAGGCTGAAAAACTCCGATTCTGCATTTGAAAAATGACAAATTAGCCCATTTTTTGATTCTGGCAAGCCCTGATGGCTTGGAAGAGAAATCAAGTCTGGGAGTTGATCCAAGAGGATTCAATTAATAATAAAAAATTATCATAAAAATGAGCTAAAAACTAAGTTCAGATTGGCAGCTGACTTCCTGCCTGGCAGCTGAGTGGGGGGAAAAAACAGCCAGGAAAATATTTAGAATTTAGAATCGCAGAGTTGGAAGGGACCTTGTAAGGTCATCTAGTCCAACCCGCCACTCAAGCAGGAGATTCTACATTCATCGTATTGATAATGATTTGGATTGGAATGGAATGGAATGGAATAGATTGTAGAATAGAATAGAATAGAATAGAATAGAATAGAAAATAGAATAGAAAATAGAATAGAATAGAAAATAGAATAGAAAATAGAATAGAATAGGATTGTAGAATAGAATAGAAATGTAGAATAGAATAGAAAATTCTATTCTATTCTATTCTATTCTATTCTATTCTATTCTATTCTATGCATTATTATTATTTCTATTCTATTTCTATTCTATTCTTATTTATTTCTATTCCTATGCTGTTCTATTCTAACCGGACCCTCTTCCCTCCCACAGCCTGCACCCCTGGCACCTTTGGACCCGAGTGCACCCACGTTTGCCGGTGCGCGGGTGCGAATCACGACTGCCACCCGGTGACTGGGAGGTGCCTCTGTGCCCCGGGGTACCACGGCAGCGGCTGCAAGCAGAGTGAGTTCACACGAGCGAGCGTGACAAATGGGGGGGAAAAATTGGGGCGCAACGGAAGGGAAGCCGGCTAACGGCTCGTTTTCGTAACTCGGCTTGCTGTCCTTTCAGAGTGCCCATCGGGACGCTACGGGCCGAATTGCGAGAGGGTGTGTCAGTGTAAGAACGGCGCTCAGTGTGCGCCCACCACAGGGGCCTGCCGGTGTCCGGCTGGCTATATCGGAGCCGACTGCAACATAGGTAAGCTGGCTGTCTACTTCCAGGGTGGCCGCGGTTCGCTTAATGACAGCCAGGATATAATACGATCATAACCCCCGCCTCAATTTCGGTCGTAAGCTGAGCCCCCCCCCCGTATTGCGCGATTTAATTTCTTCCGTTTTCGTATTTTGTGGCTTTTTTAAAAAAGGGGATGCTGCGACCGTTAAGTGTGAAAAATGGGTCATAAGTCACTTTTTCAGTGCCATTTTAACCTTGATTACTAAACGGTTATAAGTCAAGGACAACCCATGTTTTATTTGTTTATTGTTATTGTTATTGTTTATTTTACTTTATTTTATATTTTACTTTATATTTTATTTTACTTTATATTTTATTTTACTTTATATTTTATTTTACTTTATATTTTATTTTATTTTATTTATTTATTTTATCTTATCTTATTTTATATTTTATTTTATATTTTTTATTTTATATTTTATTATTTTATTTTATTATATTTTATTTTATATTTTATTTTATTTTTATTTTATTTTATCTTGTTTTATATTTTATTTTATTTTATATTTTATTTTATTATTTTATTTTATTAGATTTTATTTTAGATTTTATTTTATTTTTATTTTATTTATTTTATCTTGTTTTATATTTTATTTTATTTTAGATTTTTTATTTTATTTTATTTTATTAGATTTTATTTTATATTTTATTTTATTTTTATTTTATTTATTTTACCTTGTTTTATATTTTATTTTATTTTAGATTTTATTTTAGATTTTATTTTTATTTTATTTATTTTATCTTGTTTTATATTTTATTTTATTTTAGATTTTATTTTATTATTTTATTTTATTAGATTTTATTTTATATTTTATTTTTATTTTATTTTATTTTACCTTATTTTATATTTTATTTTATTTTAGATTTTATTTTATTTTATATTTTTTATTTTATTTTATTTATTTTATTATTTTATTTTAGATTTTATTTAATTTTAATTTTATTACTTTATTTATTTTATTTTGTTATTTTGTTGCATTTCTACAATGCATTGCCCTAAAAAGTCCAGTCTGTCTGCTTTGGACCTGCTCCTATCCGCAGAAGCAGGCAACCCTCCCTATGATGGGGATCTCAGGAGATCGAAAATCCTCCGTGGCGTTTGACAAGGCCAATTAAGAGCCATTATGCCCTCCTCCCCCCCCCCAGCTTGTCCAAGGGGACGCTACGGGCCCGACTGTGTCCTTCCGTGTCCGTGTGGCGAAAACGTCCCTTGCCACCCTGTGTCCGGTTCCTGCTTTTGTCCGCCTGGCAAGTCCGGTCCCAGATGCGAAAACGGTGAGTCGCGTCCAACGGGGTCCCTCCCGAAAAATGCTCGGGTTTTCGTTTTACTCGGAAGCGCGAGAATGCATCCCATAATATGTGCCCTGATTTGGGGGAAGGGGCTTTCCAGCTTGGGATGTCAATAGGGTCTGAGGTTCTTGCGTGGTTTGGCCCACCTCACAGGGCTGTGGCTGTGATTTTGAAAGAAACGTTACAGAAAAACAGAAATTAAATTAAAAAATTTAATTGATTAGAATGTATTAAAATTTTTAAAATTAAATTAAAAAAAAATAAATACATTAAATCACTTGAGGCCGGTCCGTTCGAGCTGGGCCTGCTTTCAACGGGCCATCCTGGGATGTGGGTTAGACTAGAAGACCTCACGGGTCCCTTCCAAATGAAGGATTTTGGTGCATTAGGCATTAAACGGAGCCACTTCTTAGATGTTTTTGAGAATTTGCGTCTTGTCGGGAGCCGCGTCCGACCCACAGTTTGGGGGGGTGGGGTTCAGCCTGATTCCGGTTTACTTCTCCAACAGGCTGCCCCGCCAATCGTTACGGGTTCAAATGCAGCCAGATCTGCGCTTGTCAAAATGGGGCCATCTGCCTCCCAGAAGACGGATCCTGCCTCTGCGGGCTCGGCTGGACCGGAGCCTGGTGCGAAAAAGGTATTTTTGCTGCCTCTTAAGACGACTAGGACGAATCCTGGTTTATGTCTGTACGGAGTCCTGTCTCCTGGAGTTCCGCTGGACAATTCAATTCCTTTTTTTGCTCTGCCAAATTCTAAAACCCGAGCTTTGTAAAAAAAAAATATTATCATTTCAAATTCCACTTCCTTGCTGTGTTTGTAGGCTAGAAAAACCTAACCATAGAATCCTCCAGCTTATTTAAACCAGCATTCCCCAATGTTGGCCAATTTAAGACGGGTGGACTTCAACTCCCAGAATTCCACCAGAGTTTCAAAGCACGGGGGAAAGTCTGTGAAATAAAGCGTCAAATATGTAATATAAACAGGAATTCTCTCTCTCTCTCTCTACAGGGTGCCCTCCAGGGAAATATGGGGCCAACTGTCAGCTGAACTGCACTTGCCAAAGCGATGGGATTTGTGATCCGGTCACGGGAATCTGCCAGTGCGAGAAAGGCCGTTATGGGAACCGATGCGAGCACAGTAAGTCTGCAACCCTGGGGTCCACGAGGGTCTTTTTTTCATGAACTTAATGCCTCTTTCCTTTGATTTCCTATTCTATTCTATTCTATTCTATTCTATTCTATTCCTATTTTCTATTCTATTCTATTCTATTCTATTCTCTATCTTCTGTTCTATTCTATTCTATTCTATTCTATTCTATTCTATTCTATTCTATTCTATTCTATATTCTATTCTATTCTATTCCATTCCATCATTTATTTCTATTCTATTCTATTCTATTCTATTCTATTCTATTCTATTCTATATTCTATTCCTATTTTCTATTCTATTCTGCATTATTCTATTCTATTCTCTATCTTCTATTCTATTCTATTCTCTATCTTCTGTTCTATTTTATTCTGCATTATTCCATTCCATTCTATTCTATTATTCTATTCTATTCTATTCTATTCTATTCTATTCTATTCTATTCTATTCTATTCTATTCTATTCTATATTCTATATTCTATATTCTATATTCTATATTCTATATTCTATATTCTATATTCTATATTCTATTCTATATTCTATTCTATTCTATTCCATTCCATTCCATCATTTATTTCTATTCTATTCCATTCCATTCCATTCCATTCCATTCCATCCTTCGAGATTGGTAAAATGAGGACCCAGATTGTTGGGGGGCAAGATTGCTGGCTCTGTAAACCACTTAGAGAGGGCTGTGAAGCACTGCAAAGTGGCCTATAAGTCTAAGACGGGCTCTTGCTATTCTCATCCTTCAGCCTGTCCATCGGGATTCCACGGGATCGGATGCCAAGATCAATGCAGCTGCCAAAACGGAGCCTCGTGCGATCCGGGATCCGGGGAATGTCTTTGCCCTCCGGGGTTTCACGGCCGCTACTGTGAAAAAGGTCCGTAGCCTTCTTATATAATAAATATATCTAAGAGAATATATAAAAAGAGACTTTTTAAAGAGGAGCAGCAAGAATTAAAACTGTCCAGGAAAGTGGCACTGTCTTCTCGGTTACAGGCTGCGACGCAGGGAGATACGGGGAAAAATGCCAACGGGTGTGTGATTGCGAAGGCGAAGCCCCGTGCGAGCCCTCCACCGGCCGTTGTCTGTGCCCTCCAGGGAAAACGGGAGCCAAGTGTGACACTGGTGAGTGTGCAAATGGGTCCCTTTGACTTAGCAAGAGGCTGCAGGAGGGGAAAAGTAAATCAATGCAGATTTCCGAAGCAAATTTTCCCGTGGATTTGCCAAGAAGCCGATGGGCCGCTCCGCTCAGCACGCAAAAGGCGTGGGATAAAATGGGAAGATCTGTGACTTATCGTGTTATTTTACGTCCCTTGTGATGCTGTTGACGTTTTACGCGCTCTTAAAACCCTCTTGTGTTAGAAATATTGTTTTGTTTGCCGTCCACTCAAAGCCTTCAGGAAATTTTGCAAAAGAAAGAAGGAACACACAAAAAGAAAGAGAGAGAGATAGATAGATAGATAGATGATTGATAGATAGATAGATAGATAGATAGATAGATAGATAGAGAGAGAGAGAGAGAGAGAGAGAGAGAGAGAGAGAGAGAGAGAGAGAGACGCACACATGCACAGAGTCCGCAGGGAAATGCCAGGAAAAATGTCTAAAAGCAGAAGTGGTTCGGGGCAGACTAAATGCCCTCTAAAGGACCCTTTCAGAGATCTAGCCATCTGGATTAGGGAACTGAGAGCAGTCAGTTCTGCAAGACACGGATCTAGATCAGAAGTTGAGAAAATGAGCCGCTCCATTTAATCCTTCGCTCCGATGCCCTTTTGCTAATCCAGGTTGCCAGCTTGGAAAATTTGGTCCGGATTGTTCCGAGACTTGTCAGTGTTCCGCGGCTAATGCCTTTTGCGACGCCCAGAACGGACGTTGTGTGTGTCTTCACGGATACATAGGAACGACGTGTCGAGAAGGTAATGTCGGACTGACGGGCGAGGTCTTGCAAGCAGCAGAAAGACAAAATTAAAATCCTTTTTGTTTTCCTGAGAAGCTAGCTTTCTCGGTGCAGGGAGCCCATATGGAATAAAGCCCTTCCCGGGGTATTAAATGCAGAATTGGCCACTTAGGATCTCTCAAGGTCCTATTTCTTACGCACTGGATGGTTGCATTAAGCTGACTCTGTTTCAAATTGCTTTAGTTGATAATGTTTACTTCTCTTCTGTCGTGTTTTCACCCGACGCTAAATAAACCAAGAATTGCTTTAGGGCGTTTTACACATTTCGATCAAAAAGACGCTCGTTTGGCTTGCACAAAGTAACACAGAAAATTGCACACCATCCTGCTTTACTGCAGAAAGTTTTTTTTTTCCTCTAACTTTCTGCTTACTTCGGCATTTCCTGGTGGTCTCCCATCCCTTCAAGCACCTTTACTGCTGCAAAAATCAGTCAGGCCAGTTACATGGTATTTATCCTAGAGGAAATTTAATATTTTTCTTCCTTTCAAAGGAGGCCCACCTCAGCTGATAGAGAACTCAAGGCAAGAAGACGGACACAGTGAGTGGCTTCCACTTCTTCATATAAAAAAACAGCAATTTAATTAATCAGAAAGATGGAAGAAAGATAGATGAGTTTATAGATGAGGGGGGGAGGGTAAATAAAACAGATGTTTTGGACCAATTGAATTGCTTTAAAAAAGGTAAGTGGTGTAGCTAGCAAATTGATTTAGTAGGTAGAAATAAAATTGACTTAGTAAGTAGAAATTAATTTTTAGCCTGCATTTCAATTTTCTCTCTCTTTCTTACACACAGAAATGTACTTTTAATGTACTTTTAAATCCCTTTTACGTATCGTTTCAAAATCCAGATCCAGAAGATTTTTAATGGTTCAGGAGGCTCATAAAACAAAAGGATGGGATTTTTTTTCTCTCCTTGAGAAGCTAGCTTTCTACGTGCAGGGAACACTTCCAAATCAAAACGTAGGAAATGTCCAGTGGAACGAATCCTGGCTTATGGATCATCTGGGCCGATGCCTAATTGTTATATTTCTCCTTCCAGGTTTGGCTCCAGAGAAGGTTACAAAGACGCTGTAAAATTCAGAGTTTAACCGACATTTTGCTAAGGTTTGTGGTGCGGAAGAAAAACCAACTTGAACTTCGCGTGTTCTCTTAAGATATGTGCAAGATTTCGGTGCAATTGAGATTAATTCGAAATTAATTCAAATTGCCTGGAAGTTGCTATAAGATTCTGCTCGGTTTCCCCCCCCCAAAAAAAAGATTTTTAAATCGTTAAGTTAAAAGTTGTTCAAAGGTCCTGAATTTAGCGGGGGTGGGCTAGATGACCTCTGGGGGACCATGCAACGGTGCAAATTCTTTATTTTATTTGGTTGGGAGGATCTTGGAAGACACCAAACTGAGTTCGTGTGCCTTGGGAGAAAGGCTAAAGACTTTTTGACAACTTTGTGAGAAGACCGCAACTGCAGGACTCGGTCTCAAGACATTTTAAGGGAGAAAAACCGTAATTTGGAACGAACGTTTCCAGGCAATTTTTTTTTGGGGGGGGTGTTTGTTTTATTTTATTTTATATCTCTCTCCCCACAAACAGCTCATTGTAGAAAAGGGCCAACTATATACTGCCTTATATTCAAAAGGAGTTAACGATTTTTTGCTATGTTACCATAATATTATTTATGTTCAAAACAGAAGCTAAGTAAATTTTGTGGTTCCTATTTTTTTTTAATAAAATGAAGTAAAATTCAAGGGGAGTATTTGCAGTCCATTCATCCCTGATATTACTGCCAAATTTTTTTTGTTTATCTTATATTTGTGGGTTCCCAGATTACTAATAAAATCTGGAGAGGAGGGAACAGATTATATATATATCTATATTTAAAAATTTAACAGTCAAAAGATTTTGGAAGTCACAGAAAATAAGCAGAACAAGCATTCTGTTTATTTTGTTACTTCCTAAATCTTTGGACTGTTAACTTTTTTTTTTTCAAATAACAGTCTGTCCCCCTTTCTCCAGATTTTATTAATAATCTGGGGACTCAAACAAATATAAGATAAAAAAAATGGCAGTAATATTAGGGATAAATTTTGGCACTTGATACCTGTTTGAAAAATTGGGCTCAACCCCACTTGGAGCAAAGTTTACAGGAGGTTTTGCTTAATAAAGAGAAAAATAAAATTCAGATGGGGTAAAACCAAACCACATTTGTTCATTTCTTTAATCTGCCAGAACAAATCAGAACTGGGCGATCTTGTTTGCTTCTAATGGTTGTTGTTTTTTTTGCTATGTTTAATTCAGAAATCCTTAGTTAAAAATCTGTAAAATTCTGAGCTGGCTACGCAAGGACAGGTAATCCTTGACATACCACCACAAATTAGCTCTGGGACATTGCAACAGATTAAGTACATGCCGGTTGCCAAGTGTCTGAATTTTGATCACGTGACCCACGAGGAGGCTACAACGGTCGTAAATGTGAAAAGCGGTTCTAAGTCAGTTTGAACAGTCACTAAACTAACTGTGGTTAAGTTGTGGATTACCTTTTTTACAGGGTCCCAAGTTCTCTTCGTTCCAGTTTTCTTTGTAGGTTACGCAGAATACAGAATAACAAGAGTCGGAAGGGACCTTAGAGGTCTTCTAGTCCAGCCCCAATCTCCTCTTGCCCCCCAGAATCCCCCAGTCTGAGAATTCTGGGAGACCCCCCAAAATTCCCCCCGATGGAAAAACACAGTCTTAAACAGCCCCAAAATATCAAAGAGAGAAGCAACCTGGAACTGAGGAGAAATTTCCTGATAGTGAGAACAATTAACCAGTGGAACAACCTGCCTCCAGAAGCTGTGAATGCTCCAACACTGGAAGTTTTTAAGAAGAGACTGGACAGCCATTTGTCTGAAATGGTATAGTTTTTCTCTGCCTGAGCAGGGGGCTGGACAAGATGACCTCCAAAGTCCCTTCCAGCTCTATTCTATTATTTTCTATTTTCTATTTTCTATTTTCTATTTTCTATTTTCTATTTTCTATTTTCTGTTCTGTTATTCTATTCTATTCTATTCTATTCTATTCTATTCTATTCTATTCTATTCTATTCTTTCTAATTATTTATGGGTTCACTTCAAAAGGGAGATCCAAAACCAGCCCGTTTAGTTTTGCAATCTTCACCAAAAGTTGTATTTCCCAAGTGGTAATTTGAGATTAAGAGCCATGCCACGTGAAAAAAAAAATCCCTACTTGTTTTATTCAAAGAATATTATTTTGTAAAATAGTATACAGCTCACCCAACGGTCCCATACGATCGGGCTGTGGTGTAGACAAGGGAAAGGGAATCAGTCACAGTGTCGTACAAATCTTTGAACAGTTTACGGAGGGAAAAAATTATTATTATGTACAGGATTAAACGGTGGGGCCCTTAGAACAGAGGCTTCTCTGGGGAATTTTAACTAAAAAGGGAGCCCTGAGGAATGATGGGGAAAAAAGAGCAGATTTAAGATATGACGAGCCTTAAAAAATTGCCGTAAAAATGAGTCTTGTTCCGTGGTTTAAAAGAAAAAAATATATATAAAAAGGGTAGGCTTTCTTCAACGGCTGTCAGTTGCCGACCTCTTTTTTAGGATGCAGCACCCGTTCTGAAATGCTGCTCTTGGCAGGAAGAGTTAAAAGTGGATTTTAAGGCAGTGGTTCTCCTACTATCCAGTTTATTTAAAAAAAAACCCAAGACTGGAGTCCTTGTTCGGTCCAGGAGGAAGAGACGTGGGCCTTTGAAATTCCTTCCAATTCCCTCAGCATCCACCAGGATCAAGGCGTGACCCTCTCCGACCTCTCACACGTCGGTCTCGATGCGCAGCCGTTCCATGCGCTGGACGTTGCGTTCGACGGCGTCGCGGTTGGTGATCTCCTGGGCGCAGACTTGCGGGAACCAGCCCTTCTCTCCATCCCGCAGGCGCTCCCCCAAATACCAGCCTGGAAGGAGATGGAGGAGGAGTAACAGGTTAAAAAAATAATTGAATTTTTGCTGAAGGATGCGGCTCTCAATGTAACAAGTGATTTAAAAGGGGGTTGGACTAGAAGACCTCCAAGGTCCCTTCCAACTTATTCTATTCTATTCTATTCTATTCTATTCTATTCTATTCTATTCTATTCTATTCTATTCTATTCCTGTTTCTGTTTCTGTTTCTGTTTCTATTTCTGTTCTATATTCTCTTCTATTCTGTTCTATTCTAGTCTTTCTATTTTATTTTCTATTCTATTTTCTATTCTATTCTATTTTCTATTCTATTCTATTCTATCCTATTCTATTCTATATTCTATTCTATATTCCATTCTATTCTATATCCTCTTCTCTCTCTTCTATTATTTCTATTCTATATTCTGTTCTATATTCTATTCTATTCTAATTCTATTCTATTCTATTCTCTCCTATTTCTATTTCTATTTCTGTTCTATATTCTCTTCTCTTCTGTTCTATTCTATTCTTTCTATTCTATTATTTCTATTATTTCTATTCTATTCTTTCTATTCTATTTTCTATTCTATTCTATTCTATTCTCTATTCTATTCTATTCTATTCTATTCTATTCTATTCTATATTCTATTCTATATTCTGTTCTATATTCTATTCTATTTTATTCTATTCTATATTACCACTTCACCCTTTTACACACATTCAATCGTCTTTTTAAATGTGAATTTTTAGAACAGGAGATCAGTCGTAACCTCCCTTAATTGCATAACGGAGAAAAAAATATTATTCCGGGTAAAAAAAATGAATGAATTCATTCTGCCTGCATGATTGGGGTCTTTCTAAAGCCCCTCACCCTCTTCGCTGTTCAAGACAAGGACCACGTCGGTCTGATGGAGCGAAATCTCGTCCGCCTGCTTCGCCAGATAAGCTCTGGTGATCTCTACCTGTTGGAGTGCTGGGGAAGAAAAAAAAGAGTATGAATTAATGCTAGACAATCTAACAATATATTTTTTTAATTGTATGCCGAAGACTCTTGAGAGGCGCAGCTCGTTTTGTAAAATTCAAAGCATCAGTACATTTTTCTTTTTTAAAAAAAATGCAGCGAATGACCAGCAGAAGGAGCACGCAGCCTGCTTTTCTGCAACGGAGAAGACTAAGACGGTCTATATTTCTCTCGCAGACATTCCTCTATTTAAACCCTGAGAACAAAAGGTCAGGAACGTCTCAAGAGTGTCCCAAAACATCACAATCCTTCTCACACTCCAGTTTCGCCCCGCAGAGAACAGATTCCTGAGCCGGAAGCCTCTCCCGCACGGGCTTAAGCGGCTGATTTTAATTTTTTTTTCCCAAACAAGGAATTCTTTCCAGCTTTCCAAATTTTGCACTCGACTCTCATTTGGACAAAGCAAGTCGGTCGTGGGTGCGCAAGTGATGAACGAGGCAAAAACAGCTGCAAATGAACATCTGGGCCTCCTTAAGGAGTCAATCTCCTTCCCTTAAAAAAAGATGTTCGGGTCGCCAGAGACAGGGAAAATGCATTATGCTCAGCACCCAAAAATGACTACGGCGGGCCATGTTTCAGCTCTTGGGAGCCCGCAAGCCACAATTGATGGTTTATACGGGTTTGGTAAGAGTTCCCAAAGCCGTGATTTTTAACAAAGCGTGATCTGGGTTAAAAGGGGCGCATCACTGCTTGGAACATGTGGATTAGGAGGCGCAAAACATTGCATTTTATTTTTAAAATGTGCTATTTTTTTTTTATTTTGTCCGGGCACAGAAGATTAAAATTCAGATATTTTTTTTCCTTACCTCCTTTCTCTGCTGTGCTGGTCTCTTTTTCTTCTCGGTGCATCAACGCGCTGATCCATCGGGCCCTGTCGCTTCTGCAAAGAGCAGAGGGTGGGTTTGTGGGCATGTCTGAATGCAATTAAACCCTAACCTGAATTTTAGCAATGTTCTGCAAGGCTTTGGGTCCAGATTTGGGGGGGTGGGGGGGAGAATCTGGAAGACTCCCCTCTCTTTTCCCTAATTCAGAATAACATCCACCACTAAGGCAGTGTCTCAAAGTGGGTTCGAATTTCAACCTCCCAAGCTATTCTGGGATCTCTTAGTGGCCTCCTCTCCGTTTGCAAAACCAGGCTGGACTTCCCTGAGATCAGTCAAGGACAGGGCAGGTTTGCCCCCCACCCCCCCGGCAATTGCAAGAGAGGAGAAAGAGGCGATTTCAGCAAGCAAGCGGAAAACTGTTTTAGGACCGGTCAGTTTCCGACTCTTTTTTCTCGCTCAGAAGACTCACCGGGATTCTGCGGCCAGGATGACCTCCTCCGACTTGCCTTCGCTGTCCTTTCGCAAAGTGAGGCGGAAGAGGTAGCCGCTGCGGCCGAGGCCGGTCGGACTGTCCGGGGTTTCGATCTTCTCAACCGAGAGATGTTCCAACATGGAGTAGTTAAGGACGGAGTAGCTCTCCTCGCTGATCCAGAGGAGGAAAGAAAAAAAAATCAAAGTTGAGAAGGAGTTGAGTGGCGGATGAGTTTCTCCAAGGGGAGAGAGAGGATTCTGGGAGTTTTCCCACACAGGGACATCCTGGGAAATGAAGTCCACACGGGCGAGTGGGAAAAAGCTGTTACTATTAACGAAACATTTTAAAAATATTATTATAAATTCACGACGAATGGATGCGCCGGGAGAATAAAAAAACAAACCCAGTCCAGATCTCTGCGTTCACCTTTTTTTCTTGGTGATGATCAGGACATCATTAAAGACAAAGAGGTAGCAGTTTCCTCGCCCGGACCCTTTCCGAAAAATCCCCCCGTCTTCTGTCGGGGGGAGCGAGACCTCCCCCCTTTTCAACAGCCACCGGGAAGTTGAGATCAAGGGGAAGTTCTGGAAGAGGCAGAAGTTTGGGTCAACTGTGAAGCCCAGAAGTGGACAACTAAACTGTCCACAGAGACCATAAAACAGGGAATCGGCTGGAAGGGACCTTGGAGGTCTTCTAGTCTGACCCCCCTGCTCAAGGCAGAAGGCCTTCCTCCATTGCTGGTCAAAGGGTTGTCCTGACAGTTCCCCTCTGAGCTGGAGGCTAAGAGAACCTTATTGGAGGGCAGAGCTCACCTTGGCTTTTCCAAAATCCAGCTGGTTCTGCAAACTGCACATCTGTTCGGTCCTTTCCATGGTGTGGGCTCCCTCATTGCATCTCTTCACCAGCTGGAAGGACAAACACAAGTCAAAGGAGTAGAGGAGAAACAGAAACAGAAACTAAGAATAGAATAGAATAGAACAGAATAGAATACAATAATAAAATACAGAGTAGAATAGAATAGAATTACAGAATAAAATAGAATAGAATAGAATATGAAGAATAGAATAGAATAATGAATAGAATAGAATAGAATATGAAGAATAGAATATGAAGAATAGAATAGAATAATAAAATACAGAGTAGAATAGAATAGAATTACAGAATAAAATAGAATAGAATAGAATAATGAA